ATCAATGATCAAACAATTTATTATTGATGTATTAAAATTCAAATATCCTGTGTCCTTTATCCTCTTTTTTTATGACTTTTGGTTCAGTCTGGTGATTTTCATTTCAAGTTTAAATTGGTGTTTTTTTCTTCCTTTCTTTCTAAGGAGTACTTTGTACTTTTTTTTTCCTAATATTTTAAAAAATCAAGTTCTTAAAGAAGAAGTTACGATTTGTTTAAATGAATTAGGAAAGTTTCTAAATTAAAAAAAAAAAAATCAAAACTATTAACAATAATTACATTTTTAAAACCACTATAATATTTCCTGCTCTAACTCAAAACATAATCTCATAATATTTTTAGCTCTGTAGGTAGGAATATGACCGTTTAATTCTCAAATATAAACCATGCCTATGAATCTTTAAAATTTAAATATATAAAGTATTCACTCATTTTTAAGCATATAACAATGGTAAACATTTGTAGAAAAAAATATTCAAATGGCATTTTCTAAAGAAAGAGAGAGAAGGAGAATGATGAAGCACTAAAAAGTGATTCTATAGTGTATATAATGGCCATTAATCTTAGTGGTATGCTATCTTTGTATAAGGGAAGATCAACACAAACTACAACAATTGAATTCCATTTGACCAAATTGCTACCACTAACCATTATTTGCACCTTATGTGACCATTTCACCCCTTTTTTCTTAAAGATATTTCATATCAAAACTTGTAGCGACTCATGATTTTAATAAATTTGATAAGATATATATTTCATATAAAAACTTTGAGCGGTTCACCACTACAAAATTAAGATTTCTTCGAACTGACCTACTCTCCCCTTCAAGTGGAAAGTTTGACCGTTCTAGAAGGGATTCTAACTTGCAAAAGTCTTAATTTTTTGAAGTTTGTCGTTGAATCAGACTCTTTCTTTTCTATACGATACATGATCGGCAAAATCGAAATTTTGAGTGATGAAATGAATTGAATTGTTAATATCCTTGATTTAATCAAGTCTCTTTGAGTCCATTTCTTTCTTGCACATGAGACACTCGTTAAATGTTGCAGTGGATTTTTTAGTTAAAGCCTATCTTCATGCAAAGTTATCTTTTCTTTAGGTCTCTTCTTTTCCCTTTGGCTTCTCCATACTGTTGAAGCTAAGAAGTTAAACTATCTTTTGTAGTGGGCATATCAAACTTTATTTAATAGTCTTTATTTTATTAAAAAATATTAGCATAGCTTTATGTACTAACTTGAATATAATTTATTTAGTTAGTTGCGACATATAAATTTGAATCTTCGTCTTTCCACGTATTGTTGAACAAAATTTTTTTTTGAATAACAGTACTCATAAACTCACTTTTTAATTTCGAAGATGTAAACACCCACTTTATGATTTGATTTGATATTCTATTAAATTAGAAAAAGTAAGTGTGAAACACTAATGTTTTCCTTAAAAGTCATTGTTTTGATAATTGTTTTCAATGGATTTGTTATCCCATTTCAATATCCCAAAAGGCAATAATGTTAAATAATGTAATATGAATATTCCCATATCTCTTGTTAGATTGAAAGCTGCAATTGCAACAATGTGGCAGTCCTTTTCTAACGGATTAGATTATATTTTTCATCTCATATATCTTTGTCAACCCCATCTTCATAAACTTCAAAGTTTTTTCTTCTTTTGTCGCTTTATTTCAATTTTATAAAACTATTTAGTCCTCTATGTCCATATAAATATAATTTAATTGGTCAGGATATTACATATCTCTTCAAATATCGAAAGTTGGAATTTTGTACTCAAAATAATAATAATAATAGTAAAAAAAGGAATTATTTAGCAATCATTGTTTGTAGAACATATTTTTTTTTGACATAGTTGTAATAATTATATAAGCACTAAATTACTATCTCATTTTATTTAACACCATTCATCAACGATGAAGATCCTTGATATATTAAAAGATAGGGACGAAGTTTGCAAACTTTAAAAAGTACAAAGATAAAATTGCCACCGACGTAATCAAATACGAATTTATATTAATCTTTTTATTTTGAAATTAATTAATTGATAGTACTGTGAGTATAATTATTTTTAACACGACAACATCATATAATTGTAGAAATTCGAATCCATGACTTTTTTATTGGAAATAAGTATCTTGACTATAAATCTATTGTTTCTATTATACACATTATACATAGCCACAATCTTCTAAAACTATAGAGTATGAATAATGTTTCTAATTTGGTGAATGCCCTAAAACAACATAACTAAGTTTTTTAGGATATATTTAGGATACTTCTGTCCATAAATATCAAACATGTTGGTCCCAATTCATGTTTTTGTTTTCTTTTCCCCAAATAATTCTTGTTGGCCACAACAAATTTAACTGTGGATTCAAGACATGTCGGTAGCGATGATGAGAAGAGTCAACAATCTTTTATTTCAGTAGTATAGAAAAACTATGTTCATAGTGTTATTTCAGTAGTATGAGTTCGTTAAATATTTAATTAATTATATTAAATCAGTTGTATTTCATATTTATATAATTTTTACTTTTAGCCAATTTCTTATTATTTAAATATAGTTAAATTAAAATTAAAATTATTTTTACTTTTTTATTGAGTTGGTCCTCCGCGACCGGTACTTGTGAAGTCAAAGGTACATCATTTGTCACTCAAATCACATAGAGAAAATTTATTTTGGCAATAATAGATAATGGTATGCAATAAGTAGATGTCATGGTAAAGGGTCTTGGCTTCGAGAGTGATACAACATTAAGAGCCATTCATAAAAGCAGTATATCAGATGTTAAGATGTAACTCTAATACCACATAGTGGTTGTGGGTCTTTTAAAAAACGACGAGTGTAAAAATAAACCTTCAAGATAAATTTCAATTGAACCCACCAAATTTATCATGATAGCAAACGTAACCTAGGTTGGACTCTGAGAGCTCAATCCATCCTAAGGCGAACCCACCCCTTAGGTGTACATAATTTTTAAGGTGTAATTAATTAAAATTTTAATTCCACGCAATATTTTTTTATTTCTATTTTTTTATTTTTATTGTGATGAAATTCAAAAGACAATATTCACTTACTAAACAACTTCACTCTTTAGCCTGAGTGACCCTGTGTGATTACTAGAATCAAAGATATTTAATGAAATAGACTAAGTTGGTTTTGTCGATTTTGTCACTACTAGAAATAGACTAAGTTGGTTTTGTCGATTTTGTCACTACTAGAATAGTAAGAGAGACAAGAAACAAAAGGTGTGATTGATATATGTCAATTCAACACTCTAAATCTAAACAATCAAACTCTCTTTTGTACGATAGAAAATACAATCTTTTTAATTAAAAAAATATAATAAAATCATCACTTATAAAAGAAGTATATAAAAAACTTGTTGTCACAATTATACGAGATATGTAACTAACTAACGTCAAAATGTTTATACCTAACTAAAATGTACACGACATACATAATAACATAAATATGTATATAATCTAACCACGTGAACTTCCACCATAATTCGTAATTAGTATTTAATCAATGATTTTATTACTTATTCAAGGAGTCTTTTCTAACTTTTTTGATAGGCAAATTCCATTTTCCATCACAGGTAAGTTACTAAAGTTTCATAATTGTTGTAGCGAAAACTAAACAATGTCACAATCAAGTTGGCGTAGAAGAGAAGCTGAAAATGACTCCAATTTCAAAAGCAAATTGCTTCTTCCCGATAAGTATCACCTCACTGGTTCTGTGGGCCCTCTCCACCTCTGTCTCTCACTACAGCCATTTCTAGATAGAGAAAAAACTGGAATCTTATTTGGTGATACTTTCAAACAAAGAGCAAAATTGAAAATAAAATTTACAAAATGTTTAATAAATTTTAAATTTATTTTTATAGGTCATCTTGACATTTAATAAATTATTGACCTATTTATTATTATTATTTTTAATTATAGATATATGAAACATAAAATACAAGTGTCTCTAATAAATTGTGAGTTTAGAGTCTGTTTTTTTTTTTTCAGGGAAACAAAGGAGATCTAAACCCATGACTATTAGTAAAAGAAAATGTAAATTACTGTTAATATTTATTAGACACTTTTAAAAATTAATCAACATTATTTATTGGGGGTAGACTTGTAATTCAACAACAAAAAGATCATGGGTTTTGGTAGGGCAGTTCGCACTTTGAAGTGGGAAGTGAAAGAAAACACACACTCACAAATATGAGAGGTGGCTTCTTTCCACCCATTCATTTCTCCACAATTGATGGGTTTTGTTTTGTTTAATAAAAATATATATATATATATATTCTGTTTCTAACGTGAATAAAAAATTCATAACTTCTTCAATTTTTTGTATGGATTTCGAACAGCTAGCACTAACCCCAAAAAAAAAAAAAGGAAAAAAAATCATTCCCACGTCAAACTCAATTAATTCCACATATGAACGCACCATGCTGTTTATTTTCCGATCCTACCTTCTGAATCTTATTTTATTGTTTCATGTTGATCGTTATCCTATTTAATTGTTTTATATTACTATTTTCTAGAGTAAAGCTCATGAAAAAAATTAAGCTTTCAAACTTGTGTAACTTAAAAATTAGAGCTTTTCATTTATTCAATTATATCATGAGAAAATGTATAACCAAAATTAGAATTAAAATAATATTTAAACTACTTGTCACAGCTGTTCCTTTCTACACTTTTGAGGACCAATGAGTCGTTATCATGGCAGCATGCAGGCTTGGAGCTTCATTTTATTTAATCTTTATTAGTTTTTTTTTTAATTATTGTTTGTGGAAATTCAACCAAATCGATTTCTTTTCTTCTTGGCTTTTTTCCAAGTCTAGTTTTCACACTCTTTTTGCCGATCGCTTGGAAGTTTCTCCTTCAACTTTAGTCGCATTCGAACCAGAAAATAAAACTCTCTTATTTTATCATCTAGAATCTATATGCCATCTGAAAATACTACACACTTTTTCAATTTAATTCTTTTTTTTACTACTTTTCAATTTAATTTTATTCAAGTGGAAATAATACTGTAATTTTTAATTTAATCTCCAAATGTCTAAACTTAATAATCACAATAACATTTTATGTTCAATTTATATGATTAAGTAAAGATAGAAAGAGTTCCAAGGCAATATAAGGGATACCTCTCATTTTCAAAATATATATTGATAAAGATTATAATTTAATTCAAATTTACATTACTTTCATGCATGTCTTATCATACATATTCAAAGGTAGATTTTAATTTCTGTTTTCTAAAATTATAAGAGTACTATGAATTTTAATATGCCATTGATTTTTTCCGTACATGTTGATGTCGATGAAAATGTTAAGATCTTAATCTCACATAAATGTTGATATAAATATCAACAAAATGTAGGGATTGATGAATATTTCTAGAAATGTTATAAAAATAAAATATTTAAACAAACCATTAAACATTTCATCATTTTTAAATAAGTTAAAAATTATTAATATTAATATTATGTTTATATTAGTGATATTTTTATATTTAGTCTTTTTTTCGCAATACCATGCAAATGTTGATTCACTTCTTATGTCGATCTCAAGTTGAATGGACACATACAAATTTCGATGAAAATATTTGAGATGTCTAACAAAAATTTAATATATGCTTACAACATGATTGATTTTAAAAGTGGACCATCTTTTCTTCTCTTGTTGCTTCAATTTCATATTTTTATTGCCCAAACGTGTGGAATTCATTTCAAGCACCTGAAGTGAAGCAATAGGTCAAAAACTTGGAAGTCAAGTTTTTTTTCTTCTCTTTTACATTATCTAAATCTATACACAGAAATATGAACATATTTTATCTGGAGAATCGTGAGAATGATTAGTTGAACAGCAGCACTTTATAATGTATTCCGTAAATAATTTTAGCTATTGACGTTTTATTCTTAATAATTTAAGAGTTTATTTCTAGTCTGAATTTTCTGAAAGGCTCAATCATAGTAATCAGTCATTATTGTCAAGACTGGGCCTAAATGGACAAGCCCAAACCCAGGCCCAGAAGTTGAATATTGGGTGGACCCTGAAAGCCCATATGGAACGCTTTCTTATCAGATCATTTACTGGGGCAGGCCAGAACTTAACTCAGGGGCTTGTCTTTCAGATCGTGCTTTTTATACAATTTCCGACTCATTTTCCCCTAAAATATTTTTTTTTCTCTAAAACAAAAAATATGAAAATGAAACAAAAAAAACTTAAATTTTAACATCAAATTTTTAAATAAAACCCTAAACCTAAACTAAAGGTAACAGTAAATAAATAAATATATATATAGTTGGGGATTGTTTTTATTTACCAACCTAAAATTTGCAGCGATATTCCTAACTTCATACTGAGTCATTTATAAATATTTGTTGACTAAATTTTGTATAACTCATTTGCTAATTTTAATTAAAGGGAGTATATTAATTTTAAATATTATTCGAATCCTTTTAAAATTAAAATGTTCTTTTTCTAGTATTCAACCATTGACAGATGGAATTCCATCAATCATGTTCAATTAAAATGAATTTTTGCTCCTAAAGGGAAAAAAAAAAAACATAACTAAAAACAACAAATTATCCAAGTACTATATATTATTATACAATAATTTATTTTTTTTTCCAATTCTCAAATATTATTAACAGAACAAGATAATCTAATATCTCCTTCATCGCCACTCTTGATTCCAATACTACTAAGTTTCAAAAACGACTCGGCCCAGCTCTCAAAAAACCCGGTTTGGTCCTTCGCCAAGCTCTCCACCTGAACCCTGGTCCGGCCGTCGCTCATCAGAACCGAATCCGACTGAAACAGCCCTCTGTGCGACAGAATGTTTTTATAGTACTGATTATCGAACACCAACGCCGTCGCCGGATCGTTGTCCACGGTGGCCGAGGAGCTGGCGCCGGCCGGGCAGTGGCGGATGAGCTGGTCGGCGTAGGCGCCGTCGAGGGAGGAGTCGATGAGGGTGAGCTGGCCGTTTGGGCCTCTTCTGAAGCGGTCGCTGAAGGCGCTGCAGTGGGCCGTTCCGATGGTGTGGGCCCCGGAGAGGACCACGAGATCGTCCGCCGACAGCCCTTTTGCGGCGAACAGACTCATCATTTGGTCCACTGAGAAGCTCGTGTCGACGATGTTTGGCCGGACATTAGACGCCGCCGATATCCGGCCGTCTCTCCGGCCGGTGGGAACTTGGACGAAGGGACCGCCGGCCTGTGCCAAGGATCAAACCAATCAACCACGGGGTAATTTTAGCGAAGTATTTTAATTTTCAAGCGATTGTGAATGGGAAAATTTACTGTGTTTGATATCAAGTAAAGACTTCTTTTAAAATAATTACAATATTTTTTTAAGGAATATTTCAAATCCATTATCTAAAAAATTATTGGGAAAATATTAGGAAATATCTAGACTCGAGAACCAAATTTTGTCTTTAGTCCCATTAATTGATAACTTATTATTCTTTCTAAAAAAGGTTTTTTACTTTTGCATTATTCTTTTCTCTTTTAAGTTTTACTTTTGCATTTATCTCTCAGTCTCAACATTAGTGGTTGAATATTTAACCATTAGCTTTGGTCGCCATAAAAAAAAACAATAAGTCATTCATTTTTTTAATATCTATTTTTACATTTCTCTCTTTCGCTTGGTCTTACGGTAGGAGCTAAAGTATTTTCCTATCGAAGAGTGTTAATTGAAAATAAAAAAAATATTTTATTTACTCTATTTCTCTTGTATTTATCAAAGTTTGGTAGATGTGTGTTTTGTATATATATATATATATATATATATATATATATATATATATATATATATATTTTAAATGATCGATGAAAATTAATTTTCAAAATCTTTTTAGGGTTATAGGAGTAGAAATGTTTAATCACTATTAAATGTAATGTAGTGCAACTGCAGCCAAACAAATTTTTTATTAGTATTTTTTTTAAAAGAAATCAACAAACAGATTGATTATTACAACTTAAGAAACGGTAAATCAACACTTTGGATTAAGACGATAAAAAAAAAAGTGTTTTAAGATGAAATATTTCTTTAAAAATATTATTTTTCTTTTTCTAATACAACATTTAGATGAAAATTTTAATTCAGTATTTTTTTTATTAGAGCTACCCAGGTTCAAGTGGCTCTTAAAAGTACTTTCAAATATGTAAAATTCACGGTAAACCGTAAATGTGTCAATGACCAATCACTTGAACCGACAATTTCAAATGAAAATTTTCCCAAATTGAAAAAAGCAGAGTTGGAAAAAAACTCACGAACTCAACGGCATCTCTGGCGGCTAAAACGACGATGTCGGCGCAGGAAACGGTTGCGGGACAGAAGAATTCGAGACCTCTCTTAGCTGATTCGATGACTTCAAATCCTCCAAGTGACCTGTTTCCCGGATCACTCCGTTCCGTTCCGTTTCCTTGGAGCAACACGGACGCGTCACACCCCTGCTAGTTCCCACATTTCACAGTACTCCCATCAACAAAAATGATTAAATTTTAATTTTTTTTAATAAACAGTAAAATTAACATCTCATGCCAACTAAATTTAAAAACTACACTTAAATCAATCCATAAATTACATAAAAGTCAACTAACTAACATTAATATTTTCAAAAAATGTGAAAATTTTGAAAAATGGGTGTATTAATCTCATTATTTATTCAACATCATGATTGAATTGGATAAAGATGGAAATTTTAAAGTTAAAATTTGCTCAAAATAAATTATAGTTAGATTTCTACAAACCTTGGCCAAAAATGGAAGAGAATTAAAAATTAAGCCAGTGAAAATCCAAAATAACCTTCAAGAACAGGAGATCAAAGACCAACGACTATAGTAAACGGAAAGATCAGACAAAATTGAAGAGAAAATGCGGCGTCGTATTTGCAATCTGACCAACCTCAACAAAGCAGTCGTGGAAGAGGAGGCGGAGGAGTTTGGCGGGGACGGTGGGATCGACGGAGGAGGCCGATCTGACGGTGTTCCTGACGAGAAGCTCCGCGGCAGGACACGTGGCGGCGTAGAACCCGAAAGACAAGGCCGCCGCCGAGAGTTGCAAAACGGCAGCTGATCCGAAGAACGAAAGCAGAATCAGAAACTTGCACATTTGGGGAAACGGCGGCGTTTTGGCCATTGGAAATGTGCCCGTTGAAGTTGCCGTAAGGGAAAGAGAATCAGATAGAGGGGGGGAAATGAACATAATATATATATATTATAGTTTTTGAAGGGTTATTTAAGGCGGCATTGAAGAAGTTGGGTAGTGGCAGAGCAGAGATAGAGATTAAAGAGTGTTGAAATTAAAAGTCACACGTCTTTCGGACATATTTTGCCCTTAACGCCAGCCCCAACATTTACTCCTCAGCAGCTGATTCCTTCATTTCGCCGCCCATACAAACGGAACCCCTTTATTTAATATTTATGCCTCTTCATTCTTTTCAGATCTTCCTTTCAAATGGACTACGTTATTACCCTTCTTTTACAAATATTTGGATTTTTTGAAATATTTAATAAAAAAATGGCCCATGCAGGTCTCGAACCTGCGACCTTCGCGTTATTAGCACGACGCTCTAACCAACTGAGCTAATAGGCCAATTGAAAAAATATGTTAACATTTTATATTTTTTCTATATATTTAATAACTAGGTAAAATTGACTAATTCTATCTATCTTTGGGCATTATTTCCGAATTTTAACTCGTAGTCACATCTTACTTTTCCTTGAACACATGGATGATTTTATGTTTTTCTTTTTTAATGGTTATTTTAGCCTTCAATCTATTTAGTTTTTGAACTATATAAATATTATATATAGATTTTTAATAAGTATTTAAACTTTCAAGTCCATGTCAAGTTTTTCAATATGTTCTTCAACTTTTAATTATGTCTTTTAAAGGTCTCATCGTTTAGTTTAATAGTCTAAATATTTTATGATACTTTGACTATATTATTCAAAAGTTATGTGATGACTTGACTTTAAATCAATTAAAAACGTAAATACATGAGGTGAGGACCATCTAATCTTTTTACGATTATTGAAGTAACAAATGTTAATTTTTTAATTTGTATGTAACAATTTAGTCGTTAAGAAAATCTTATTAATCTTTTAGTTATGATAATTGTATACCTATACTTTATTAACACATTTGATCTATAAAGGGACGTTTGCGGTATAAGTTGAGTATATGTTCCTCACGGGTAATGTCAACACACCGACACTCTAACTAACTAACGAACTGAGCCGGTCAATTGGAAATTCAATCACTGCATCCAAACTCGTGTTGTTTAATTTCAATTTGGGTTGATCTTTATCTGATTTGGATTATTCTTTTTCCAATTTTAATTTCAGTTATATATTTTATTTTTCCTTAAATACAATTGTAGTGATATATTTTATTTTTTAGGAAAACCATGTATGGAGGGATTATAAGCATTCAAATTATAACTTAAAATTCTTATTTAAAAAAAAAAACTTTGAATAGATCTTATTATTTTATTGTGTTTACCTTTGTCTGGTTTTAGGCCACTGAAGCTATCTAAAGCCAAACAAACTTTGAGAAGAGTTCTATGGTATGATTAGTTGTTTGTTTGTGAAATATTCTTTTTTCTTTTTATGAGAATTTCACAAAAGTCATTTTAAACATACTTTTCGTTAACTGAATAAAATAATTGTATGATTTCCTTTTATATGTTAAGAGGGAATCAGAATTATGCCTACTCCAAATTTGTTGAATCGATATTTATAAGTCATGACACGTTATTCACCAGAAGTTTCGTTGTGACAGCAAATTTTATAAGAATTCACAGGAGATTGATTGTAAGTTGCCAGTGAAATATATTAAATCATTGTAATTTTGTTGTTTATTTCAAAATTGTTTGAGTAATAATAAAACATGGATTCATCTATGGATAATTGAAATAAGCAAATTAAAAAAAGAAAAAAGATAACCCACATGTATATATTTTTAACTATTAAACTTTCTACTCTGAGAATATTATATGGGAAATGCGAAGTGGATATTTGTAGTTAATTGGCAATAACTAAAATCTAATTTGATAATAATTCCATTTTTAGTTGTACATTTTTAATAATTTGTTTGTTAGGTTTCTTGAAACATACACTTGACTAAAGACAAAAACAAATTTATAAAAAAAAACATATTTTTTGTATTTTTAAAACTTAGCTTAGATTTTAAAAAATATTAACTAATATATATATATAAAATCTAATTATGCCTTTGTTAGTTAATTTAACTGAAAAATCACGCGGCATATTTAACAATAAAAATAGACAGCTTTGAAACTAAAGTATTAATTTAAACAATATTTAAGTCCTACTTGAAAATTCATAATTCTTTTTAATAGTAGTGAAATATTTAATGGGTGCAGTTAAGTATTTAAAAACAAAAAATAAAAAGAAAATCTTCTCTGTCTCAGCCACTTCACCTCTTCTCTAATCCCTTTTTCTTCATTTTCCTCACCACACGCGTACTCTTTTCCACCGTTGAAATTCGCTCTATTTTTTTACTCGATTTAAATGTCTTCGAATTCAGTTTTGGTATTGTCCAAGAGTAGATATTAAACTTCCGACTAGCTAAAATTTTCATCGAATATTTTCATGCCATGGGATCGACATCAGTACGAAGAATAAACAGACATAATATTAATATTAATAATTTTAACTCGTTAAAAATGATTGATTTAAAGATTAGATTTTTGACATCAAGACTTTATCGATATTTCTACTAAAGAGATAACGATGTTTCCATTAATATCGACATTTACATTTTTGTAAGCTAAAATAATTTTTTTTTTGAAAATATGTGAAATAAAATCAACAAAGGCTAAATTGGATAAAAACTTATAATTTAATTTAACTTTTAAATTTGAAATTAAAAACAACATATAATACTTGCCCGCCGCTTTGTACAAACACTTGACTAGATGTTTTTTTCAATGACAAGTTTAGTTTTTCTTTAGTAAAACGATGAGCTTGGTTATTGCATTTTAAATTAATTTCTAATAAATTCTCAAACTTTTTAAATATCCAATCGTGAAAGTGTTGATTCAATGTGTGGTTCAGAAAACAAATTCACTGATGTAGGCAGCACAACTTCCTTCATTCCTCGCCCTAAATTCTCCTGTTCCGCTCCAAATTCACCACACGCGGCATGGCTTCCCTTTCGCTCCGCCCATGTCTTCCCATCTCCCCTCTCTCCCACGCATCTAAGCCCACGCGCCTCCCCAATTTACTTCTTCTTCCCGCTTCTTCATCTTCCTCTTCGCCGTTCTTCACACTCGCCGCCGCCAGAAAGAGACCCGCCGTGTGTGGCGCCGCGGTCACGGACGCCGAAGCTGCTGTTGCTGCTGCTCCGATCAACGATCTGACGGATGACGGAGAACGGAGGGCCGTTTTGGATCCCACGGCGGAGGAGGAGGTCGGCGATGGAGCCGCGGCGGAGTACGACTGGACGGAGGAGTGGTACCCGCTGTACCTGACGCGGAACGTGCCGGAGGATGCTCCATTAGGGCTCACCGTCTTCGACAAGCAGCTGGTGCTGTACCGGGATGGAGCCGGCGAGCTCCGATGTCACGAAGATAGGTGCCCACACAGGTAACGTTAACTCACCAAAAAAGTAAAAAAAAAATAAAAATGGCCCATGCAGGTTTCGAACCTGCGACCTTCGCGTTATTAGCACGACGCTCTAACCAACTGAGCTAATAGGTCAGTTGAAATTTCAATCTCTTCTAAATATACTATGATCGATCATAAAAAAAATTAGCATTCGATTTGCAACTTAAAATAGATCTTAATATTTTAATTGTGCTTACGTTTGTGTTGTTTTAGGCTAGCAAAGCTCTCTGAAGGCCAAATAATGGATGGCAGATTGGAATGTCTTTACCATGGCTGGCAATACGAAGGGGATGGGAAATGTGTGAAGATCCCTCAGGTGATTAGTTTTTTCCTTTGAGAATATAATATTACCATTGTGGAGGTCTTGGTGCACTGGTTCCCCTGCTAGTAATTGTGTTTAGGAGTGCTTTTAGCAAAAGAAGTACTTGAGTAAAAAGTGCTTATAATAAGTCACTGTGCTGTTTGATTCTACACCTTAAAAGTAATTTTGAAAACTGATTTTAATTGGCTAAAAGTACTTTTCACTTGAGTCATCCCAAACATACCCTTCGTCAGCTAAATGTATTTCAACATATGATCTTTTATATGAATTGCCTTAACCCATATTAAACTTATTTACAGCTTCCATCAGATGCCAAGATTCCTAGATCAGCATGTCTAAAAACATATGAGGTGAGGGACTCACAGGGAGTTGTATGGGTGTGGATGTCTTTGAAGAAGCCATCAACCCTGAAAAAAATACCATGGTTCGAGAACTTCGAGCGTCCCGGGTTTCGAGATTTTTCGACTGTTCACGAGCTTCCATATGACCACTCCATACTTCTTGAGAACCTTATGGATCCTGCTCATATACCAATCTCCCATGACAGAACTGATTTTACAGCCAGAAGGGAAGATGCTCAGGCGCTAGGATTCGAAGTTACCGAGCGTACAGATCGCGGTTTTGCTGGTCGGTGGGGCTATGCTAAAGATCAGCCATTGCCAAACTTCTTAAGGTTTGAAGCACCTTGTGTTCTTCATAATAGTAGGGAAATTCCCAATGAGAAAGGTGGGAAATATTTTTTTTCAGGACTTTTCCTCTGCAGACCCACAGGCCAGGGGAAATCAATGCTTATAGTGAGATTTGGTAGCACAAGACCATCTTCTTTTCTATTAAAATTGCTGCCTTTATGGTTTGTGCACCAAAATGCCTGCAAGGTTTTCGAGCAAGATATGGGATTCCTTTCTTCCCAAAATGAGGTTCTAATGAGAGAAAAACTGCCCACCAAGGAACTCTACCTCAACCTCCGATCCTCCGACACTTGGATCGCCGAGTATCGTCGCTGGATGGACAAGGTCGGGCACGGGATGCCGTATTACTTCGGACACAGTACGATTTCGTTGCCCGAGCTGCCAGCCGTTGTCGAACACGCCCCGGTGGGACTACTTGCTGGAGCTTCAGCATCTACACCGGCCAAGGGGGGAATCGGGACGATGCACGCTCCGAATCTGGCGAATCGGTACTTTCGACATGTCGTTCATTGTAGAAGTTGCAGCAATGTAATCAAAGCTTTTCAAATTTGGAACAAGGCTCTTTCTGCCATGGCCATCGCATTGGTTGCTTTGGCAATTTTGGTGAGTGGAAGGCAATGGAAGGCCCTCATTCTTCTGTCAGCTGCATCGTGCTCTGGTGGAGCTTATGCTTGCTCAGCCATTGTTGCATTAAATACAACTAATTTTATAAGAACTCACAGAAGATTGTAAGTGATATGGTTCATAATAGGGAGATCAAAAACTTTGTGTGTTTCTGTTTGTAAATTTCAATAGAACAGAGTGGTAGAATATATAAGGAGGTTCAGTTTCATGATTTCCTTACTGTCCCATGGATTCTATTGATTTTCTTAGGCTAATAACTATTTTCCGTTTTTTAGTTTTTGAAAATTATGCTCGGATAGTCACAATTTATTTGACATGTTTTTACCTTTATTTAAAATACACATCTTTTTCAAAATTACCTTTTTATAGTTTTCGAGAAAAAGATTACTTTTTTAGTTTTCGAAATTTGGCTTAGACTTTAAAAACCGTTCCAAAATCTGCGTAATGTTTTGAGTTTGGCCTTGGAGAGGATGAACTGACTCGCCAAACCTTTGCAAGGTATTATGTTTGTTTGATTACATTAAAAAAAGAAAAATTTGTTTTCAATCACAAAATTGTCAAATTACATTACAAATTACCATAAAGCTACTCTAAAAGGATTGACTGAAAATTACTCTAGAGTAACTTTTTGAAGAATCAAACTTTTAAATGATTTTTCCAAAAATGATTATAAACTAATTTTATTAATTCTAAAGTTATTTTTATTTGTTAACATACATCTTTTAATCCAAATATTTGAGCGTTTTTTTTGGGAGTTTTTGCTAAAATCCTCAATTTTATTTTTTACTCGTACAATAAATAACAATAATAAAAAATGATTTTGTTTGTACACTCAAATTTCCCTAAGCCTAAAAGTCTAGTCTCGAATGTCCTTTATTATTAGGTTAAATTTTGTGCACTGTGCCCAAACTTATTTAATGGAAGAATTTCAATCAAATTGGCTAATATCGAAACCACTTATTGAGTATTGACATACTAAAAGAAATTAAATAAATAAAAGAAAGAAATCACTTATTAACTAATATATCCATTGTCAATCAACAATTTACATCGACTACGTTTCAATTTTTTTGCAATTTTGTAGTAGAGGGTCACTTCCGTAAATTTGCAGTCAAGGCTATTTCCGGAAACCTCGAGAACATGAGATTAGTTTAACGGGCTATTTCCGTACCCGGTGGTCCATGGGCCGACTGGATATTATAGACACGTGGCGCGAGAACATCCATCACTCACTCTTCAATTTGAAAGACGGCCAAATACGCAATCCACTGGCGCGGAAGACGCAGCTTCAAATTAAGAGAGCGGGAAAACCCTAGCAGAGAGAGAGAGAGAGAGAGAGAGAGAGAGAGAGAGAGAGAGAGAGAGAGGATGGGGCTTCATCATCTTCATCAGCATCATCAAGCGGCCGATGGATTGGCGAACTTGTTCACGAAGGCGAATCATGATCTCTCGGTGGTTCAGTACAGGCTCGAGAAGGAGTTCCAGCAAATCTATCCCGACAGCGTAAGAGCACTAATTGGTTTGCGGAGGAATTTCTGTGTCCTGGAATGAATGTAGAATTATTTTTCAGTACTAGTACAAGATCTTTGAGCTTGTTGTAGATTTATTTCATTCTACGGGTACGGCGTAAGAGCAAGTAATCTATTTCTGACAGCGGTAGAGCAACATACTTTTGTCTATTTATTTATTTATTTTCTAATCGAGGCACTATTTTGTGTGAGGAGGAAATACTAGGTCTTGAAATGAATGTAGAATTATTTCATTCTCTCTTCGAGTGCTGGTACATGATCCTTGAGTTTGATATAGAATTATTTCATTCTACTGCGCAAGAGAAATAACGTATCTTAGAGCGGTAGAGCGACATGCGTTTATTTGTTCTTTCTTGGCTGTTAGTATTTCACTGTACTAGTCAGCAATTTGTTGTGGCTCTTGATTTTAGAAGGTTCGTTTTGCGGTATAAATATGTTTGTTCAGACAATGGACTACATGATTTTTAGGTTTATTTTTCCTGGTAACACGATCACCTGCTGTTTCTCTTAATTTTTGAAATTCTGAATTTCTGATTTTAGTGATCCTTCTGAATTTTGGAAAAAGCACCTGAAGAAAATTTGCTGTGTGTTCCACGACGAGATAACCACGGATTGATGTGGAACTCGATCTCATTTTTTCTTTCCAGATTTTCTTGGGGAAAAATAAATTCGAATCTTCTCCTGTTCAAGTGGTGTTTTTCATTTAAGTTTTTGTAACTTTTTGGCAGGCTAATCCGATGAAGTTAGTTTCTAGGATAAAGAAGATACGGGACGATATATCAACCTTGCAAGAGCAGTGTCGTGAAATTTTGATGGCCAAACAGGTACATCGTGCTTTTACATTTTTCCAGAAAGGTATTGACTAGGGTAAACATACGTGTTTAAACTGCTAGAGTTCATGCTTTTCAAGAAATAGGTCTGAAACTTCATTTCACCTTGATTCGATTTGAAGAAATGTTGATATAGATATATTTAACTTGGAATGTTTGGTATGCATAAATGAGAATTTGAAGTTTGCGCACGTGACGTTTAAGAATAGAATGATTGTGTTTGGTGTATGTGAATGAGATTTATGAAATGCGATTTAGATTTTTCTTTGTCTATAATCTAAAATCTAATGATAACTTTTATGAGATGCAGTTATATTGATAATATTGTTTAAAATATTACTGCACACCAAATTTAAAATGTTATCTAATAAAAAACTGAATAATTGAAATCAAAGAAATTAAAATAAGTTGTCAATGCTTCATTGTAGTAGTATGGGTTTAAAACTTAAGTTAATGCCTTGATGGTCGATGGTTTTTTGCTCTTCGCTCGCTGATGGAGGACGAGGACTGCAAAAACATTGGTAATTGAAGAAACGATTCTAATGTACATTATTTATTCTTGTTCTAGAACTGAGCTTGAGCCATCTCAATACCTATTGCTAATTTATGCAACGATCATGTGCGGTTGTTGATAAAATTATCACTTCGTTTCATTAAGGAATTAGTTTTCTTTTCACTTTTCAAATGCAGGATGTAATTGATAAGGCTCGGACGGTTCTGGTTGGGAACAGAAACATGCTGCAAAAAATGCAAGCATCCATGGGCATACCCCTTGTCAGCGATCTCGATGATCATGCTTTTGCGCAATTCAAGAAGGTATTCCTTGCTAATGCCCCTTGGTTTTCATTTTGTGAGCAGTAGTAGTACTATGCATCGATTATTCCACGGCCCTAAGCCTGAATTGCGTTACCACGCATATGCAAAGGACTGTAGCATTTAGATTAGATTTGATGTCATTTTTTACACTCTGTGCTCTTTTTCCTCTTTATTCCACCATTAACTGTGAACGTTTAGGCTCTGTTTGATAACCATTTCGATATTGATTTCTGTTTTTAAAAATTAAGTTTAGAAATATAGGTGTTCCTTTGTTTTGTTTTATAGTTTTTCTGAAAATTTTTAAAATCAAGGCCAAGTTTTGAAATCCTAGAAAAAGTAATTTTTAAATGTTTGTTTTTGTTTTTTGAAATTTGGTAGAAATCAAATATGCTTTTAGAGAGATGTTCAAAAACATGTATAATCTTTTTAGAACAGGAAATTAAAACAAAACAGTTTAACGGCACATTAACACTAAGTATGTAGTGAATACATATTTTTCATATCATTCTCCACTTGCCAATCAGTCGCGAATGAAAGTGATGTAAGCGTGCGTTTTTGTATTCTTCTCGACCTACAAGAAAGATAAACAGAGTGAAGTAGGCACTTGACGTTTCTTGACCACTTTTAGCATTCGTTTTTCAAGTGCTCTCTCATCTACTTTATTTTTTGTTTTTTTTTCTTTCTAAAAGGTTGTAATTTCCAAGTGGTGCTTGTAGTTTTCGTACCATTTGCCAGCAAGCAACCAATATTAAATTTGCAAAAGGCTTTTACGAGTGAATATCCACACTAGATGGTATGTGGGTATCTTCGATCTTTTGGATAAAGCTTACACAACCAAATGGTAGTCAAGTGTTTACTAGTTAGTATCCATGTCTTCCTTTTTGACAAATAGGAAAGAAGAATACATAAAAGAAGATAATTTTTTCCTTTTTCAAAAAAATATAAAACATTCAAATTTTTTGTATTTGGTGGGTAGAAAGATAGGTGCTGATCACCAAGTGCATGAACATTTTCTTAAAATATCCTCCTCATTTGGTAGTGTCATGTGCACATGTGCACATGTGCAGAGTCATTCTTCTTATGTAGAATGTCTTGAACTGTGAAATTTTTAGCGGTGGTCCGTAGAAAGATAGATGTTGACCAATAAGTACTTAAATACTGTTTAATAATATATTTTTTTTTATTTAGTAGTGTCATGCCTTTAAACCATTTACTGAATTTCCGCCTGCAGATCACTGAAGAGTGGACAACACAAGTTCAATCAAAAATTGGTAACGATTATTTTCAAGCTTTCTACAGAGATTGCTGACGTGGGTAAATTAATTTTGCTTGTTTGCAAAGGCGTGCATAGTTCGTTACTTTCTGTTTGTAAAATTAGTATTTACAATCAAAATTTAGAGCCGATTTCTACCTCAACTTTCCCAGTACACACAAGTCACAACCACTAGAATCGTAGATCACAAGTATGATCTAAGTTCTAATTTACGGTACATTATTCGAAAATATCACCCAACCCTGATACTGATAGTGAACCATTTTATTTACAAAAATATTAATAAAAGTATCGACCCTAAATTACAAGTATCTATCTAAAAATTAAGTTCATCAACGTCTCCATAACTCAATTGCATTTGCAACACGAAGCTAGAAAATTTCATTTCCATAATTTCTTTCTATTTGATTGTTTTTTTTCTAATAATAATTTGGGGACGTCTAGGGGATTTCGAAGATTTTGGCTTGTTGTTTTAGAGTCTTAGGATATGTTTGCCATTTTTTAAAATAACTTAATGGTAAGACATTACTATTTGATATGGAAGTAATTTGACAATAGAAAAAGAGTGATTTTGATCATTTCGAGATCTGAGAAAAATAATTTTGACTATGCCAATTACTCTCTAACATGCCTTTAGACTATTGTTTAGAGCCGTATGATTTATATATTTAACTGTTTTGTTTGGCGCCAAAACAGGGGACGACGGGCAGGAGGACGCCGACTCTAATGACGTAAATAAGTTGCTATTCTCGGCCGTAGTGCACACCAACCACTAATAGAGAGTTACGAAAGCTAAATTTTCGCACGCCAAGTTCGAAGTATGCAGGTAGTTCTCTACCTAATAACTTAATCGCACCATCTTCCACAATTTCAATTATTGATATTTTTAAATTGAGATACTGATTTATTTAAATTAATAAATCAATATTTAGTTGCATATGTATAGTATTTATCTTTAGTTTTTTTTTTCCTTTTTTTATAATATTTGTATCTTTATGTTTAAATCTTGAAAATGCTATTTTGGTCCAGTAGGTACATTAAGCTTTTGTTCATTTTGAAAGATGAATTTTCAACTTTTTCAGAATATTTGTTTTGAACCCACAAATTTTACGTCTAATAAAAACTCTTTAATATAAGATCATGGTAACATTTCAATAAATATATTGAGTTTGATATTGTATTGAAATTGCTGTAGAAAAAATCAGATATGTGCCAAAGTAAGTACAGCTTTTGTAGTACATAATTGTTTTTTTTTTATTAGCATGTTTATTTTTCATTCCATGATTGTTTTTTTGTAGTACATAATTGTTTTTTTAGTACAAGAAAATACGTGGGGGCATGATTATGTTGATTCTTTGGTTGGGAACAAGTTTTTTAATTACCATTTATTGGAATTTTTGGGTGCTATATTTAGGGCTATCTTTTAGTTTTTTGATTTCCTTTGGCTGTCAACTAATCTTAATCATTTAAGTGTCATTTAATTACCATTTTACTATATTTAATTTTTTCATATTTTAAAATAAGATTATTATTTGATAACCTAAAAGAAGCTGAGTTTTTAATTTCTTAAAATAGTTTTATGTCTGTTCCCCCAATTTAGCTTTTATCTCTCATTTCTCTTCAAAATCTCATCTCTCCTCCTAAAGTCTCTAACATTACTCAACCTTTTTGTTTTGTCCATTTTCTCAGATTTTTCCCTTTCTAATATTTGTTTTTGAATTTGACTACCTCTTTTTTTCCTTCCTCTGACGTTACCTTTCGCTCTCTAACCAGTTTTAGTTTCCTTAGAAAAAAAGGGAAAAAGAAAGCGTGTCGTTAACAAATTGTCGATTGTGGTTCATGCAGCTGTTTTCACACCATCATTTTAATAGACTTCAGACTGGTGCCTATCCTGTTTGCCAGAGTCAATGATATGAAGAAGTTGAATTACTCACCACGTGCCTGCGCACTCTCGTGAGCCACATGTAACTTCAACATAACTATCAGAGTTGAAAATTTGAAAAAGTTCTGAAACAGTAAATATGCACATCTGAATATGTCAAAAATATAAACAAAGACCGTGAAGGAGGGTGGGAGATCTTTTCATTTCACTATGAAATTACAATACCTAAAATTGCATTTGACGTTGGTTATGACTTATGAGCCTAAAAAATATGTAGAGGCATCACGAATTTTAATGGAAAATAATGGTTGACAGACCTGCGTCTGCTATTCTGGCTGAACTTGCGGGGGCAAGGAGGGCTATTTAGAGACAGGGGGCTCTCCCAGCCACTTAGCCCGGTAACCTGTTCCCTTACAGTCTGAGCAACCCATGGAACCCTGGCACATTAAACATGCTGGCTTACTCTATATGGGTGGTTCATAAATTATATATAGATCTAATTGGGCTTGTATTCATAAATTATAGAATAATAGTTGAAAATGAATTCTGTGTAATTATCAGAAAAGTAAATATTTTTTTAAAATGTAACTGAGGATGTACATGATCATTTTTATCTGTTTTATTTTTCTCATGATCTATTTATATGACCTCTTGCATTAATGAAGAATTACTGAGGCATTATTTACACTTCAGTCTCAATAGTATTACTTTTATAAGTACTTCAGTAAAATACTTGAATAAGTACCTACTAATTGCTTCTTTAAAAATTTCTTCTAAATGCTCTTATTTCTTAAAAAAAAGGTGTTTCTTCATTTTTCTTTCTAGTAAAGGTGACCCTAACTATTTAAAAGTATTTTGAACGGATTTTGAAGGGATATTGTTTGAATTTTGGTTCAAAAATCTTTGGTCACCATATTTAAAAAAAAGTAACAAATTTTGTCAGTCAATCGCATTTTTCTGTTGAAATTTCAATAGAATAGAATACTACACTCAATATATTTTTTAAATGTAACTATGATTTTATATTAAAGGATTTCCATTTTGTGTAAACTTCGTGTCAAAATTTTGAAAATAGGAACCAAAATGGTTAATTTTCAAAAGTATAAGAACCAAAACGAACATTTTGAAAATACATATAATGACCAAATGAACATTATGAAAGTACAATGATCAAAATAAACATTATAAAAGTACAATGATCTAAATGAACACTATAAAGTACAATGACCAAAATGAATGGGAGTACAAAAACCAAAATGAACATTATGAAAGTGAGGCTAAAAATGCGCGCAAGCTAGCCCGAACACACGGATTTCAAAAAAAAAAGTGAGACTAAAAGTACAAGAACTAAAATACTATTTTAACCTTTTTTTTTTTTTTTAAGAAATAGTTAAAACACTTCAACCTACGCCAAATATTTATATTTTGCTACAATTGAAAAGCACGTCCAAAAGAAAATCAAAAGCACTTAAAAAGTTTTTCCAAAGAAGCAAATAAGATATTTTTTACTTCAACGCTCTAAATTCCTTAACCTCTCTTGCGACACATGCTTACTTTATCTAACTACTTCCTACACATTTTCACTCAAAATCTTTTCCAATGCTTTATCTTACTAATTTTTCTCGGCAGTCAAACCGGGTAATTATTTAGATAATTTTAATTACTTATAGTTAAGTAATTTGTCAATTCTAAAAATATTTGTTAAGGAAATATTAGTAATTAAAACTAACAAATCTAATTAGACTTAAATAAAAACGCAACCAAAAATTTCAATATTAAACACGTTCTATTAAAGTATTTATCTAATGTATTTGCATAAAAAATCACTTATAGACTTATAGTTATAGCACCAATAAAGAATACGAGTACTGCAATTCACAGTTCAGGAAAAAAAAAATTGAGATTAATCCAGTTTCGAAACTACCTTGCCCGCACAGATGACACAGCTAGTGTTTCTGGAAGGAACTTGACATAGCATATTATCTCCAAGAATAAAGAAGCCTGTTCCCGCACACCATTTGCATTCAACATGCCCATTCGAGTGGCAAGAAGAGCAGCCAATAGGCCTCGGTTGCTGTAAACACATACAGAACAATCACGAAATTGGAATTAAGACATCAAATAATTATTAGTGTGAATCTCTACACGGTTTCGCATTCAATTCATCTTAAGTTAGAGGTTAGAACAGAAACAGACAGTAGTTTTTCTTTTAAACGTTGCAAACATTTTACTAATATGAGCTATGACTGGCTTAGGGAAAGCGGAGTCCCAAAGAATTTGAATATTCTACTGCTCTACTATGTTTGTGAAGACGGATGTTAGTTCTAAACTGCCATAGCATAGCATACGGATCGGAGGATTAGGAAATTCGTTTGCTCCTTTTCCTGATCGCGTTACTGCTGGAAAATAATGTAAGCAAAACAGACGCGTTGAGTTATGATGAATGATTTCCTCGATTAGGTTCTTAAACGTCGCCATAAATCTTGTAGAGTGTGTTATGTTTTTCGGATTATGATCAGGAAATTCCGGCTCCTCCCAGCCGCGTTACCGCAGAAAAGGAATAAAAGGAAACAGGCTCGTTAAGTTATTAAGACTAATTTCTTCAATTAGGTTCATAAATGTCGCCATAGATCTTTGCATAATGTTAGAAGAAATGAATATTTCAATCTTCGTTCGAAGGAAACACATGGCCTAGGAAGTCGGAAGAGGAAGATGATGACATCTACTCATTCAACCGGCGCTCAAAGGAGAGAGAGACAGATGGAGAATTAATCGAAACAGCCATGAAAGGAAAGCCAATTTTTACGAGTGTAGAAAAACGCGAGTACCTGAGAGATCTCCCATGCTTGCTCCATTCTCTTGGCGAAATCGGAGCTTCCGTGCGAATCCACCATAGAAGCTCGCACGCCACAAATTCTAGGGCTCAATATCTTCGAATCGTTGAACGAAAGATGAGGCGCAGCAAATCCCGCACCGATTGGCACTATTCTAGTAGAAACAAATCCTCTGCCGTCGATCGGTTTCGCCGTATTCACAGGCCTGCAACACACACAACTCGCCATTTTTCTCTGCTCCTCGTCTCCTCGACCTTGTTCCACCAATAAAAGGCAATCGGATTCTTCTTATACAATTTCGTTCCAAAGACGAACCGCGAGAGAATTTCTCTGGTTTTCAAAGAAATACACGGAGCCGAGAAAGGGGAAGATATCTCGGAGGGTTTCTTTCGGGCCCGCCTCGTGTTCGGACTTCGGAACGAAAGAAATATCATTTTGAATTCTCCTTCTTTACGTGGCCAAGTTTGACCCTCCAAATCAAATCCATCCCCACATTTGGGCCTACTTCGGCCCAATAACGGCCCAATAAAAGCCCGCCTCTTTTGTTGAAGAAACTAGCACATTTAATATAAAGTAAGGAATTTAATCATAGGTATAATGTAACCTACCATAGAGAAATAATAACAAAATAATCTATTGAATATTTTTAACATTCGGTCAATTTTGGATTTAGGGATAAAATTGGAATATTAAAGAATATCTATAACTAAGTAACTTCTGCCAATTTGGGCAGCTTTGCTTTCTAAATAAATTAGATAGACATATACACGTGTAAATTTTATCTCTTAGAGAGATTAGTTATTACTATTTTTTTAGAGAAATGAGTTCAATTAATGAAAAATAAAGCCACATGGGTTATATTTGAAGGGATTTATCCTGAGTGATATCTTGAAGCCACATATGAGAACTAGAGGATCAAGACGACGCACCGTTAGAGGAAGGTCATACTTAGTCAGCAGATGAACATGCCAATTACAATTGCGAGATACATGAAAAAGAAATTGAATCAAATTGTAGAGCCAAACGACGAACTTCAAGGCGGAAATTGAATTCATCCCCAGTGTTGAGGAGGCACCTTGAATAAGCTTAATTGCAATGAGACAATCAGATTCTACCTGAAATTTAGGGCAGTTGAGATCGTTGGGATATAGCAACTAATCCACCCCCAGCTTGTGTCAAAAGTGGCATTATGAAATTGAAGAGCATAAGAGCTAATCCACCAACACCTCGTGTCAAAATTCAGAATTTGCTTGCCTTGATTTGCTTGATTTCGGTCCTTTCAAATCATCCAACAGGTAATTGCAGCTAAATCTTTCTTTGTTGAGTGATTGTTGTGAGAAGATCATGCCAAATTTCCAAAAATGTCAAGTTAGGATGGCCTAGGATGCGCAATTAAGGGAACATCTTCTACCAAATCAATCGAGCAAGCTTACAGGAGAAAATTGAATGGGATGTGGTTTCCATCTTTGTGGTGGAGAGACGATAATAAGGTAAGACATCTAAACCCCGAACCATAAAGGGAACCACCCTGTAAAGTAAAGAGCCTTGCCTAAAGGACCAGACCCGGAGCCACCAATTCGGTGCAGGTCACGTGACCTACAGCTCGGCCTTCGCAAAATCCCCAAGCTCAGGTCACCTAGCTTAGAAACGAAACGCTGAGGAAAAATTACTTACTTGCTTGCCCACCCAACTCCTAATATCAATATCTCAGGGCTAGGGATGCGATACAGGGAATGGTACTCCTTGGGGTCACCATGCTCCTTCAGATATTTTTGTATCCTTTCGGGTACGATGCTTTCTATAAACGGAAACATGGAGTTCCAAAAAGGTAGTGCCTATCTGTGTCGAGTGTGTCRATTGAAAGAGGAGGAGAGACAACTCAAATGCCAGCACAAAAATCGAAAGAGTCGTGCCATTCAAAATCGAATTCGGCCGAAGATCCATTGCTCTATTTTGCATGCTCTCGACAGTGCTGGAATTCTTTTTCAAGATGTGGCCCCCTTTTTGAGCGCCTTTGGTCGTCAGGCTGCATCTGAACTACAGTGGCTTCAATCCGAGTCCGGGTCCCGGGCTGGACTCTGACTCCCCCTGATGCACGGGAGGCGCAGAGCAACCCACCCCAGAACAAAGCCCCACCCCATTGTAGCTACTATGTCAGATGAACCCGAAATCTCGGTTCCACTTATTGAGATTGGTAATAGATGGAAGATAAGGAAGGTTAGTTATTATTATTTTCCCAGTAACAAGGGTTTTAAATATGTCTAATCAACTTTAAAAAAAATATTTATTAAAAAAATCAGAAAATCAAAATATTTGTAAAATTAGTCCATACTCAGCTATTACCTAGTGTCTTCATCTTTATTTTTTGTTTTATTTTTTAGTTCATATATATATATATATATTTTTATAGTGGACGGAGAATTACAACTCATGATCTCTGTATTTCGTTGAACTAACTMCATGTTAGTCATTTTTTGGTTTATATTACTGAGGGAAAACGCTAAAATCTTATTTTATTTAGACAATCTAATAGTTGGATTGATTTTTATATTACAATTAAAAGAATATGCAATATATATAGTTGCCCGAAAATACTATATTTGTATTTTTTTTTTCAGCGTTCCATTCTTTTCGGCGGCATCCTTCCGCATTGGCGGCGAGTGAAGTGCCACAATCCCATTCATCATTTTGGATCTACATAAGCCAAAACCCATAGCACTGGCGACGTCTTTTCAAATTGCTACCAATCTGAAAATCTTTGGTGTAGGTAAGTCATTTATGACAATTTTCTATTAAAATAAAAGTTCATATACGTTATCTGACTTCCATACTTCATTTTGCATAATACATTTGAAATTTTTTTCCGTATAAATTTAAAATAAAAATATGCAGTTTATTATTAGTATTTTCATAGTTAATACATCTATAAATTATTAAATTTATCCTAACCCATCGCTTTAAACTTCTAAGTCAATTATTGATATTTAAAAAAAATTATGATGATGAAATAATTAGTGTATTTGATGCTGGTGCGAACAAAGATTTGATTTATTGTTTGTAAATGAAAAAAAATATATAATTTAAATAATAAAAAACTATAAATATAATAATATCTCAAATATCTATAAATTATGTGTATATTTTTTTGTATGGAAAATATTTGACTTAAATCTTTGATAATTTGAAAAATAGATAGATGTAAAAATAGAGACTTATTACAATAAGGGTGAAAGCAAGATTTCATCTGCTGAAGAGTCAAATATTTCTTATTTTGAATTTGTCAAGCCTATATTCAACGTGGGCTCATTGTTCGTATGACTTTTTGTTTGTATTTTATTGTGGTCAATTCTTAAAAATTAAATCAAGAAATACTAATTTGATAACAATTTTATTAACTAAAATTAAACCCCCCACCCCCCAGAAAAACCCCCTTTTAAACTAATTTATAATGCTTTTATTTTCAAATTCAATATTAAAATAGCTAAAATGCAAAATTAAAAAAGCCATGTCAATTTAAAATATTTATTTCAAGTTTTTGTTAATTTATAATGCTTTTATTTTCAAATTCAATATTAAAATAACTAAAATGCAAAATTAAAAAAACCATGTCAATTTAATATATTTATTTCAAGTTTTTGTTAATATGATGCAGCTATCCAGGTTAACTATATCAAACTAACAATTAGACACAAAATTGAAATTTTATAAACCTATTTGAAAAAAATGTTAGTTTATGTATACATACCATCTTAAAAATTCAAGAATCTAAATCTTTTAAATTACCATAATTATCCATAATCTATAAGGTTGATATATGAAATTTGTAATTTATAAAGAAAAGAAAAGAACTCTATTTTCTTATTTCCTTCCGCTTAAATCAACTTATTTTTAAATTGGGTCGATTTTCTACTACAAAATTAAAAAAATAAAATATAGAAAATATTTTGCTCCTCACATGTAAAGATGAATCTTATTCTTATCACCATTATATATATGACAACTAAGAAAGATAGATATAAAAACAAAAATTATTTTAATAAAATAATAAATTGTGAAATATTTAACGAGGGTATTATTTGGACGAAATTAAATTAAGTTTGCCAACTAAAAAGAAAAAAAGGTCAAAAGAAAGTAGTAAAAGTAAATACGCCGCCTGGTATCAGATATGTACCGTTATAAAGGTCAGAAAATAACTTACAAATCATTTTCGAAGTTTAAACCACTCACTGACTTTTCTCTCTCCTACTTCAGTTACTACTCCCTCCTCTCTCTCCCTCTCTCTCCCTCTCTCTCTCTCTCTCTCTCTCTCTCTCTCTCTCTAAAATGGAACAACATGTAAACCCCATGACTTTGCCGCCGCCCCCATCGCCGCCGCCGTGGCTAACTTCTCCGACCACCTTCGTCCAAGCAGACACAAACTCCTTCCGGGACCTTGTCCAAAAGCTCACCGGCTTTTCCGGTGACTCCGAGAAACTGCCGGTCACTCACCTCTCAAAGCTTTCCTGCTCGAAGCCCTCTCCTCCGGCCGCCGACCACCTCACCGGCCCTCGCCGGTCTCCGTTCAAGCTCCAAGAGCGCCGTCACACCATGCGAAAGCTAGAGATCAAACTCGGCCTCACCACTAATTTCCGAAACTCGCCGCCGAGTCACTACTCGCCGAGTCAGATTCGCCGGTTCGACTCGCCCGTTCCGAGTCCTGTTACGCCTCTAGCTACCGAGTCGCTGTTATTTCTGAGGCCCGGCGTGGCCTCGCCGCTGTCGCCGCCGGTTACGGCGGAGGATAAAGCCATAGCTGACGGAGGGTTTTACCTTCACCCGTCGCCGGTTAGTACTCCGAGGAATTTCCAGCCGCCGGAGCTCTTGAATTTGTTCCCCTCCAATTCGCCAAGTGAGCAATCTCAAAATGCATAAAAAGAAAAAAGGGATTTTTTTTTGTTGGCAATGTCTCTGTATATTTTTAAATTCTTGTGCTTTTTTTATATTTTTATTTTCAATCATGCTGGAGCTGATCCATTGGAGTTATTAAATTTTATTTATTTCCAATATAATCGTCAAATTTCGCATTTTCTCAAACTTTTTTTTTTATTTTCATTAGTTGTTCGGGAGAAACGTAGGAGTGGATTATTACTGCGTGAATAGATATAGCTAAAATGAGTATAACTCAGCGATAATTGGTATGTACCTCCAACCACGAGTGAATAGATATAATTCGGTTGCACTTATACGTGGATGCATCTTTCAATGAAAATTTATAAGATAACAACAACAAAAATTACAGTTTTTCAAATCAGTTTGGATTATTTTCAATCTGAGTTTGAACATTTTTCATCCTTGAAATAATTACTTTATATCACAATTTTACTATTCATGTGTCAATAGAGGAGAATTATTATTATTATTATTATTATTTTATATTTTCGGATTGCACAACTCGATTTTTATTTGAATCGTTATTTCTTTTGCTAACATTTATATTTTATATAAAATTTTATTTTGATATCTAATGTTAATGTTGTAAGTTACTCATAAAGAATCAAAATTGAAAATAGATGATGCATAATTTATGTTAAATATAATAAAATATTTATCAATACAAATAAAAATAAATGTTTAGAGATAACTAAACTACAATATAAATAAAATATAAAAATTAGGACACGAAATTTCATCAAATAAATACATGTAAAAATAGACGTTGAAAAAAGTCCACGATGACAAAAACTAGTGGGCCTCACTTTTAGCTGTTAGAAAGAACATCGACACGGTTTTGTAAGTGGGTTGACGTTGTCGTTCTCGTGAAGAGAATATATGTTTTACAGTGACCGTGAGCCGTTGGATGGATCCCTCGGACGGTGGAGATGTCGAGTTTGATGGCGGCTGATTTGTCGAAACACGGCACGGACCGTCTGAGTGTTCGTAGCTTATCCTCCAGTCTTGACTGGCGATGACAAATGCACCTTTCGGTACACCATTTCCCTACACGTGGCTAATTACGTATGGTCAGTGATAGGAATTCTGCACGGAAACTTGACCTCATTTCTATATGTTCTCTAAAAGATTTATAGTACCATGACAATTTAGACACCCTTTTCATTCATGGTACCTCACTAAAATTTAACATAGGTTTAAAAATAAATTATTTATTTCAAGGTTGAATAATCGAGTACGGATTTAAATTCGTAACATTTAAAGATTAATTTTTATTACATAATTTGTCTCTTCATTTATAACTGGTCATTTTTTTTTATTACAACGTGTTTGTGGGAGTAAGAATTCGAGGTCACAATATTTTGGTCGGAGACATGTATCTTAACCAATTGAGTTAGACTCAATTGTCTTAATCGATCACTTATTATTTTAGTACAATATGTGGGGGTGAGGGATCGAATTAGCTCACAACCTCTTAGTTTGAGGTATATGTCAATTACCGCTGAGTTATGTTGGTTTTGACTCTTAATCGATCAATTTAGTTGTATTTTCCATATAAATTTTATTTGACAGGTCTAACGTTAGTATTCTATTTGTTGGTGTTGATAGAGATAACAATAATGAAAAGACATTCATTCATGAGCTAAATAAACACGATATTTAAATGGTAATAAAAAAAAGTGTATAATTTAACTAATATAAAATTATAAAATATAATACTATCTCAAAATCTATAAATTATTTTTAGTTCAAGGATGATATGAATCTCTCATATTTATAGAAGTAAGTAAATTTTCTTCACTAATTGAGATATGTTTATGTTACTGTACTAATTAAGATATATATTATATATATATAATCGATAGGCCATATATTATATATATATGATCGATAGGCCGTGGGTTCGAATTCCTACCTCATATCTTGTCATAAAAAAAAAAAAGAGATGTCCATAAATATCAACAAACTATTGGTTATTGTGATTATTTTAAACAATTATTAGCTTACATGAACGAATGATCATTCAAAAGATAAAAATAAAGAGGTCATTAACATTATTATTATCAAATCACCCAGTGATTAATGAATATTCTTTCAAAAACGTTATTTGTATAAAAATACATATGCACTTATATTTTACAAAATTAAGTTACTTAATAGAATTTCCCTAAATATTTCATATGTCTACTGTTCAAATGTTTCATAAAGAAAAAAAACGAATAATTGATTTTTTTTTTCTATTAGCTCTACATCAATAATATATCTGTCAATGTTATCTATCTTCACAAATTTATCCACTTTTATTTTCAGTTTTATAAATTATTCTAATAATAAGAATGATATATTCCAAGATAGGTAGAAATTAATTTTGATTTATATGAATTTGTTGCTCTTTGGTGACAATTTTTCTTTAGATCTTGAATAGGTTAGTCAAGATTTTGTAAGTTAATTTCTTTAATTTTTCCCCTAGCTTGCGAATGATGTCATTTGTCGACCGATAACATAGTACAACATTCCACTAAAATGTAACAAAGTCAAAGACGAAAAGGACTTGTCAAAATAAAATTGCATATTTTAATAAATTAGCATCAATTGTTTTTTTTTCCCTTTTTTTCTTACTATTTAAAAATATTTTGTAAATTGATCTTTAAAAGAAAGAAAGAAAGAAAGAAAGAAAGAAAGAAGAAGAAGATTTTTATACAATTGCGATTATTTAAAAATTTTCTTACTTTAAACGTCTCACGAAATATAGACAAAAACAAATGAAGAAAAATTTGTTATTATTATCTCTCTCTCTCTCTCTTTTCTTTTTTCTTTTTTTTTTTCTCCCCCTTTTTCTTAAAGTCTTGTTCATTAGAGGGAAAAAAAACTAAACACAAATATTAGTTTGCAACAGGAAGAGTCGTGGACAGATAAATATTTGAAATAATAAGTTTGTCTGCCAATAATATACAACTTTAATCACGCGTATCGCATTCCCCGCCCCCCCTATTTTATTTATTTTTCTTTGTTTGAGGCTTCAGCATGATTCTTAAAAACATGTCAAAATTTTATTTAAAAATTGGTTTTTACGGGATTAAAATCCTGTCTTTTGATTTTTCATTCTTCTTGCTTACGCTTTTAGTCTCTCTATTTTCAAAATATTTATTTTGGTTCCTGTAATTTTTAAAAGTAACAATAATCTTCTACTTGAAAATTTTTAAATTATATACTTAAGGAAAACCCTTTTAATATAAAATCATGGTTATATTTCAATAAATATATTAAGTGTACTATCATGAAGGTAGACAAAAAGAGATTAAAATAAAATAAATAGTCACTTTTTAAAAGATGATTAAAATAAATATTTTGAGGGACTAAAACGAACCAAAGCTCAAAGTATAGGAATCAAAACGAACATTTTGAAAATACAACGACCAAAATGAATCAAAACTCAAAGTAAAAATATCTAATATTATTTTATTTATTATTTATTTTTTAAACAAAAATGAAAAAAAAAAACAGTGATAAAGTTGTATTGGTGGATATTAAAACTTTGAACCTCATAGTTCAATACATGTGCCTTAATCCGTTGAGCTATACTCTGATTGGTGATAAATTCATCTGTTACAAAAAGAAATCCTAGAAATCGATATTTTCAAACATACATATAATTATCATGTTACATAAATCATTAGTATTTTGTGTTATTTAGTGACAACTTTGATCGATCAAGTAGAATTTCAACGAAGTTAATCAATTATGCAATGTTATGATTGAAATAAATAAAATCTTAATACAAAGCAACATTAAAGTTTGACCTAATAAAAAAAAGAGTAAAATAAGACTAGATTAGGAAATTCCCTTGTTACCAAGGAAAAAAAAAAGAAAAAAAGAAGAAGAAGAAAGAAAGGATTACTTTATTAAATGATATATCCCTTAGACCGTGAGATGGACAAAAATTTTACTAGAGATCCATAAGAGAAATAAGAACTTGTGAAAAAAAAAACAATAAATTCATCTATACTTAAAAAAAAATTAATCCTAGAAATTAGTATTTTCTAACAATTGGCCTATAATTACCACATTACATTGATTAATTGACTATCTATGTTATTTATTATTATTTGTTTAGTACACTGTGTTGTTGGAGATATATGTCAATCACCGTTGAGCTAGACTTATTTTGATAGACTATCTATGTTATTTAGTACACCAGTTAGGTATAATATATATATATATATATATATATCCAATTATTCAACGTTATGATTAAAATAAATAAAATCTTNATCTATGTTATTTAGTACACCAGTTAGGTATAATATATATATATATATATATATATCCAATTATTCAACGTTATGATTAAAATAAATAAAATCTTCATATAAATACAACGTAACATTAATGTTAGACCTAATTAGAACGGGTAAAATAAAAAAAGAATTGGAAATTCCTCCATTAATTTTTTTTCTAAGATTGTGGAATGAAATTAAATTTTATCATATATCCGCCAGAAAAAGAAAACATTTTTTTTTCTTTTAAAAGATAGAAAAATAAAAACTTATAAACAAAATAGTAATAAATCTATTATTAAAAGAAATATTATAAATTAATATTTTCAAACCCATATAATTATTATGTTAAATTAATAATTGAGAAATCATGTTACTCAATGACAACTTGATTAAACAAAAATTCAAAAAGATAATAAATTATTCGCGGTTATGATTGAAATTAATAGAATCTTAAAATAAATACAACGATTAAAAGTTACACCTGAGTAGAAGGATGTAAAACCAAATAGGACTTCAAAATTCTCTCTTTGCAAAAATTTTCCTAAGGACATATCCTCTAAGATCATGGGATGTTCCCCCAAAGAGAACTTGACATATGAAGGCAACGAGGTATTTTTCTTTTTCTTGTTTTTTTCTTTTAATTTTATTTATTTATTTATTTTTAATGCTTTGAGGCATATTAGGGTCAAAGGAGTTGTCAACATTTGGCACCACAAAGGGGCAAAGGGGGGAATGGTATCATCATTATGATCGTGAAACTCTCATTTTCATGGGGGGTTTTTGGAGGATTTGCTCATATTCTTTGAAATGATTGCTACCAAAAGACATTCTCTCTATGTAATAATATGCTCTGTGAAAAATTCCACAACTTTTTGCTTTCACTTTTAAGTGAACTTTCAATCTTAATTATGATTAACTTTTTTTTTCAACTAATTTTTTTATAGAACTAATAGATGACATTATATCTTACATTATGTAACTCTCATTTGTATCATTAGGTAAAATAAAACATTGAGTCTCGACAGATAAAATAATAATAAGTTTGTTTCACTGTACATAGTTTAAGTGGTGATACATCAATTTTAATCTAATTCGACTGATTACAATATTTATCAACGATTAAAATATTGTAGATTTGAATCTCCATCCCACTTGTTGTTGAACAAAAAAAAATTTGTTAGAGATCAGAGTTTCCTTGTCTAAGTTCTAGATTAAAATTTATCTCCTTTTGTAGGAACAATCATTGATTACGACTGTCAAATAATGCATGTGAATTCTGTTTTTTTTTTCGATGAGTAAAATATATGTTCTTATATATTTTTTGCTTTTCACATATATATTGGGCCGAAGACATTCATGTACAATAATGGGACTTATGGGCCGGACCACATATATTGACATCATCGGCCTCAGATTAAAATGATTAAAAGTTTAACTACAGACAAGTTTATTTATTTATTTAATTTAAGGTTTATAGGTAACATGCGGGAGTGGAGATTCGAATTTTCAATTTTATTGGTCAAATGTATATGACTTAAAATTTACCCGTTGATTTATGCTCAAATTTGGAATGAATTTTATATTATAGATATCAACGTCTTTTTTTAATATTACACCATAAATATGGGACAGAAGATTTTCAAACCTAAAATAACTAGATATAGAAATATTTGTAACGGTTAAATATGTTTGTATTGGCAAGTAAACCAAATCATACTAACTAGTTGAATGTTCAACAAATGTGTGGTTAGAAATTGAACATTTAATATTTGACAGAATAATAAATATTGAAGCTGCTATGAACGGGTTGGATTGGAAACAGAACTATAAATTATCATGAAAAAAAATAATTTTTATTACCTTAGCAAATATTGATATAGTTAATGTATAACACAAATATCTACTTAAAAATCTTGTTGTATATTTAAAAAATAAGATTTAAATACTATTTGGTGTACTTTTAAAATAATTTTAGTATATTTGTTTTTAATTTATGTCAATTTTAATCTCTATTTTTTAAATATGAGTTTTAGCCCCTTCATTTTATATATTATCTCAAATTGTTGGATTCAGCCCATCAATTAACTTAATGAAATAAAAGTCATAATTTTAAGAGTAAAAGAGACCAAATATGATTTGAAAAAAAAAAATTGTTTCAAAGATTAAAATTGGATTTCAGCGAAATATGTGCATTTCTTTTTGCCTAAAGTATTTGGGTTTGTTTTGGCGCGCACACGCGTGCCATATTTGTCGAACGCTCGCAGCCGCTTTGTCACCAATCCCACCGAACGCTCAACAAAATTCCTCTCTCATCAAAACTCCTAAAAATCCAGACTACATTCAATACACTGACACCAAAAACTTCTTCAGCGAACAACTGCTCGTTTCTCAACACCTCTCTCAAATCGTCGACCCAATTAGCGCCAAGGAAAACGAAAAAACTGAAATTAATCCCTGCCGGAGGAGCAAGCTCCGAGGATGTTTCATTAATTCTCCGCGGAAATCGAGGTTTCCGCCTCAGGATTTGGGTTCGCGGCCGGGAAATGGGCTGGAGGTATAGGATTGGTTTAGGGCTGATTTTAACGGCGGTTGTTATATGGGTTACTTCCGCGGAAATTACTCAGGTCTGGTCTGATTTATGTGGAGTCGTGTTTGTTTAACTGAGTTTTTCATTTTTTCCACCTGCATTTTGGTATTAATCGCTGTATTGTTTGGCTGATGTTATTTGTTGGGAGAAGGAATGGAAATCAGAGCTAGCTTCGATTGTTTTGTTTATTTGGTTAAGAACATTAATTACGTCGAATCCCTCCGACATGCATGGACCGATCAATGCCTATAGTGAATGTCTGTGACATTTTTGGGGAAATTTACGGCCTAACTTGATGATTTGGACGTGGATGCCATAGTTGTTTAGCTATATTTATTTTATTGTTCTTTTTGCTTGGTTTCATGTTCAATTCCACTGTACTTTTACTTTTGATTTCACACAAAATTTGTTCGGATGTGGGGATTCGAACCCACGTCCCGATTGGTCAGTATGAGCTCCCACCACTTTTTTGATACGGTACATTTTTATTGGCTCAAAAATTTCAGTGAGATCTATTTATCTAAAATCACACAACATAATTGGAAGGGAGTTGTTAAGCTCTAGGTGAGCTATATACAAGTTTGGCGCTAAAATTATATTTGCATATGGTTAGGAATACATATATTTAAATATACGACCACTCGCGCTTTTAAGCATATACAAGTTCGGCGCTAAAATTATATTTGCTCAAGAATACATATATTTAAATATACGCCACTCACTTTTAAGTGCTTTAAGTTTATGAGTTTAGTGGTGATTTTAACGAGCAAAGCCCTTAGGTTTGAATTCCTGCATGGTTATTTTTTATTTTTTCACGGGTTGGATTTTATGAATCAAATTAAAATTCAAGTCCACGAGTGCGAAAGACTAAATATATATTAGGAGTCGTTTCTAGAGTTATTTTTTCAAGATTTATGTTCAACCAAATTCTCTTGTTGAGAAAATTACAACTTACCCAATATACTTTGTTTGGTGCAGAGGATCTTCAGTGAATATAAACATCCTTTTGCACTCTCTTACTTAGGGGTGTCTCTAATGGTGGTATATCTACCAGTGGCAGTTGTCAGAGACTTGATTTTCAGTTTATTAAACCCAGATTTACCAAACAACCACCCTGATAATGGTGGCTCTGTTTTGAGCTCTTCTATTGGACTTGACTTTCCTTTGAGATTTAATGAAGCTCATAACAGTTTGGATGAAGGCATGGGAAGCTGCCTAATTAGTGACAAAGATTTGAGTGAAAGGGAAGAGGGACAGCCTTTGATTCCTAAGATTGAACCAAAAAATGAAGTTAGTTCATGGGAAATTGCTAAATGCAGCCTTTTTCTTACTCCCTTGTGGTTCACTACAGAGGTACAGAAAGTTTTAGAACTTTTTTAATTAGTCGGTTAACTTATGGTTCAATAGGGACATTATTTTGATATTTCATTTAGTGTTTTTGGTTTTTTGTTTTCAAAATCTATGCTTATTTACTAATAATTTCCTTTGTGTCCTTATCTACTAAAAAGAAATTTTTGACATCCTAAGATTTTTAGTCATTTTGATAAATTTGTTCGAGACTTTTGTAGTATTTTTCGAACTCGGCCCTGGCAAATACCAGTGTCGCAACTGCAACCATCTTAAATTCCACGTCGGGCCTGTTTGCCCTTCTGTTTGGAGCCGTTCTTGGACAAGAATCCATAACCATTTCCAAGGTGGTAGCTGTTCTCATTAGCATGGCTGGGGTTGCCATGACAACCTTGGGAAAAACTTGGGCAACAAATGAGTACCTAATCATCTCTGAGTAAGTTACGTTATTGCTTAGTATAGTATTACTGATCTCCATTTCAAAGTTCAGATAAAATCATACATGTTACTTTTATTTTCGCCAACTCACAGCCCCTTTGAGATTTTTATTTTTTATATTTTTATCCATGGTATTGGGCCCCACCCCACTATTGGGTCGAAAATTAATTTATACTATTTTGGTAGTATGAATAACTCTTCACACTACTCTCATTTATTTTAAACTGCATCAATTTATATCATCCGTATATAAGAAGTATGATATGACAAATGACACGATGCGAGGTTCAACAACATTTAAGAACTCCCCGTGGATACTTCGCACACCCAATGCCAACTTGATGAGATTTTCACTTATTAAGCTTTCGATAAATCTAGGACCTTGAAGATCTACCTGTCTAAGTTCTTACCTCTAGGCCATCCCTCGGGGTCCAACCTTTGAAGGGGCAGGGGACAATCTTAGAGCGAAAACTTTAAAATCTTATTTTTATACAATAACTAAGAGCTTTTTGCATTTTACATTTTACATTGTTAATAGATGATCAGTTAAAAGTGGCAAAGTTTAGCTTAAAGTGGAGAGAAGTCCATATGCAATAAATTCTTTCTTTGACTTAACTGGACTACATGGTCATAAAGTTTTGATTTTTTCTTTTTGTAATGTGCCATCTTTTCTTCCTTTCATGGTAAGGTCTAGAGGGCGAACCGTCATGGGGGACATGTTCGGTCTTCTATCTGCAGTAACATATGGATTATTTACTGGTATGGAATTCTAACTAGGAACTGCTTTGTTGATAGCTCAAATGTTTTACTTCATGATAATTATTTTGTTCTGTGATGGGTAATTGTTATAGTACTGCTCAAGAAATCAGCTGGATCAGAAGGAGACAAGATTGATGTGCAAAAGTTCTTTGGATATGTTGGTCTCTTTACTATATTGGGCCTTTGGTGGCTTGGTAAGTGAAACAATAATGCTAGGTTTATGGTGCTTTGTTCTTCTTTATTGGAAAACTTTTGAGGGTTGGATAGAAGTTTTTGACTATGGTTGAATGATTAAGCACTTCATTGACTAGAGTTTAGACTGGTTATTTGGACAATTTGGTCATTTGGCTCTGAAAAAGTTTTAGTTACATTGTGCCTGAATGGTAGAATTAGCCATGGCAATGTGTTCTTCTACACTGACTTGCATCATTCTTACTATTAATAAAATCACTCTGCAGTGTGGCCTCTAACTGCCGTGGGCATTGAACCTCCTCTCAAGTTTCCTGCCTCAAAATCCGTCACCGAAATTGTGCTTTTAAATGGCTTTGTTGGGAGCGTTGTGTCAGATTACTTATGGTATGTCGAGAATACTACATCTTTCGGGTGGTCGTTCAGGCTGACTACTTTGATAACGATTTTTTATTTTTGACATAATAACGATTTTATTTTTAATTGTCTGTCCCTCAAAATCAAGCTTAGAGTGTTTTAGAACCATGATTTTCAAAAGGAAATAAGTAAAAAACAAAAATTGCTACCAAACTAAACTACTTTGACAATCGCGTTGAAACTTTGCTTTCTTTCATCCCAAAAATTTCTTATTACTGGGAGAATCTCATCATTCTTGCAGGGCCCACTCTGTGATTTGGACTTCTCCATTAGTTGCTACCCTGGGCATGTCATTGACAATTCCTCTAGCTATGCTGGCCGACGTTGTATTGCACGGCCGTCGCTACTCCGCTCTTTACATCCTGGGTTGCATTCAGGTAAACGCTCATCCACTTAACTAATCTCACTCTCTAGTAGTATCTTACTTCTATTTTCAAAAACTACTTCTAATCATGTTTCACTGTTAAATTTTCAGTATTGTGGCTATATAGTCCGTAGTAATATTGGTAGACGTAGACTTGAAATGACATTAATTTCTTGAAATTTTGATGGACGAAATATGATCTCCAGACAGGACCAGACTGTGTCTATATAGTCCGTAGTAATATTGGTAGACGTAGAATTGAAATGACATTCATTTCTTGAAATTTTGATGGACGAAATACGATCTCCAGACAGGACTGGACTGTGTCTATATAGTCTGCAGTAAAACTGGTAGACATAGAATTGAAATGACACTCATTTCTTGAAATGTTGATGGACGAAATACGATCTCCAAACGGGACCGAACGGGACGAAATATGTAGTTTAGACTTGTGTTTTCCCTAATTGAAACTTGTTAGCTCTATTTTCTGCTGTCCATTCAGGTATTTGCTGGATTTTTCTTGGTGAATATTTCAGACAAGTTCTCTGCCTAGGGCAAACCAGGTACAGTGAGTGGTGAATCCTGTGAAGAAGAGAGGGTGTACATAGATTTGGTGCAGGCGGCCATTGAAGTATGAGATGTATTAGAATGTAACTACTTTTTTAACTGTACAAATGTAAATACTTAATGCTCATCTATCGGAACATTTTTTCAGTCTCTACCCTTTGCTTTTGTGCAACTTTGAAATATGACAAGTTTCCTTGGTAGTTGTATCACTTCACCTCACCTACTATTTTCCAATGTGAAATCTTTAATATGCTCATCATCTCAGTTCATTGATCGGATTCTATTTGTGGTATTTCGAAATCAATTAGTAACGAGAGAAGGAGTTCATATTTCTGGTATTTCGAAATCAATTAGTAACGAGAGAAGTAGTTATTTTATCTTTTCCAATTAGGATCCTTATTAAAAATTAAAAGACTTTTCAGTTACTTTTTTTTAAGTAGTTTGAACCTTCGACCTCGTTAACGGCTAAGTTAGGTCTATTGACTCTAATTTTGCAATTTATGTTGCATTAATTTAGGCTTTTTTTTTCTTCTTCCTCGAGAAACAGCATTTGTAAATTTAAAAAGTGTTGAATAGATGGTTAAATGATAACATTACTTTATAAATAATTTATTGTGTACAATAAATTATTACCTGGATTATTTTTTAAGTTAATAATTATTTTGATAGCTTTTTTAGTACAACTAAGTGAAGCTATGCTTGCTTTTCACAATTTTGAGAGTTAAAAGGCACCAAAATGAAATTTCAAAAATTAAAATAAGATTTCAACTCAATAAAATCAAAATGAGTTAAGGCATCTCATTTAGCATTTAATTTTAAAAAATTAGGAACGGAAATTAGAAATTTGAGATATTAAACATTTGGAAAAGTTAGATATTCCCATAGCACAAGGACTTTAATCTCATTGAACTTTCCGGACCATAAGCCTTCAAAAAGGATCTGAATCGTGAAAGTTGAAACACCGGAAGCGACAATCACCACCACCGCATAATTGGAAACAGTATTCGGAATGGAGAAGGGCAAGGGTTTGATGGTGGACGGCCGGCGATGGGCCGTCGACTTCACCGACAATTCTTCATCGTTCTCCACTCGCGATATTACTGATCCTCCCGGTTTCACTCGTGCTTCCCAAGATCAGGACGATTCAACTCTGAGCCGCCAGAAGAAAGATGCTGAATCCAATTGGAAGGCACAGGTGTTTCTCCAAATTCTATTTTGTTGGTTGATTAGGGTTTGTTATTCCTGATTTTTTTAATCAGTTTGGTTGTTGTTTTCTCACTGTTCCTGCTCTAATTTTTGCGTATTTCGCTGGGTGCTAGTTCTTGGATGGGATCAGCGAGTTTGGAAGCGCAGAAATAATCGATTACATTTTTAGGGAAATAGGGTGGATGAGATTGCTTTATAGTGGAAGCTTTGTGCTTTTCATTTGTAAGCAATTTAACTTTTGGAGCAAATTCAAAGCATGCTCAATGGTGAAAAATCGTAACGCTATTTTATAAAATGAGAGATTTATGAGGTAGCAAGGTCTTGATTTGTCATTAAATGCGAAGATCAGTAAGCCTGCAACAAGTTTAAACAATTTTCTTGACTGGTAATCGTTTTTCCCCCCTCGTCAAGAGTGTTTATCCATGTTGTGGACGTTTCTGACATGATATGAATCATGTGATGCAGTAACTTCAGTTCTAAGTATTTAATAGAGAAGATTTTTGTCCTGAATCTTTGTTCCGTGATGTTTTATTCTGCGTCTTTGTGCTCTTGATTAGAATATTTACAGTTAAATGGAGTAATCTAACATCGCAATTTATGAGCAGAAAGCTTGGGAAGTGGCGCAGGCTCCTTTGAAGAATTTGTTCATGATGGGCTTCATGATGTGGATGGCTGGAAGCACTGTACATTTATTTAGCATTGGTATCACATTTTCAGCTCTTTGGCAACCCATAAGCGCCCTACAAGGCGTTGGAAAGGGTAGGATTAATATTTACTCTCTTTCCCAACTGCTGTTATTATTATTATTTTCTTAAGTTTAGCATGCTGTTGCCTTAATTGTTCTATAAGCATACTTTACCCGAAGTACATATGAGGAATGTAGTATTCATACGACTCATACGACATTTGGTTCTTTCTTCATGTATCGTGGACTATTGTACCTCCCCTATCCAGATTAACCCTTTTTGAATGACTCAACATCTTCCGCTCCCACAATCTAAGCTCCGCAAGGTTAAAGATTGAGAGATCTTCTGATGTAGCTATGTCCTCATTGATATTTTCTACTTTTTAATACTCATTCTGATTTGTTTTTTATGGGTATTGTTCTTTTAACATCTCCCCTTTCTGCACCGGCTTCTAAAACACTAAACTAAATTCTGATTGTCCTGTTTGTATAATTCATATATAAGATATGAGTTTGTGAAGTGTATGAAAAAAAAATAGCATCATTTGTGGGATGTTAGTGATTTTATTCTAGTAGATTTATCATACTGTTGCCAGTTGGTATTAATATTTATTTTTCCTGCAGTTTTTGAGCCTTACAAGGACGGTAAAGTTGATCTTCTTGGACCTAAGTTACTGTTTATTGCTCTTAATCTTGGAGGTTTAGCACTGGGTGTTTGGAAGGTGAGTTTCTTTTTAGTTTTTAATCTCTACCTAATAAGTTCTTAACACTTCTTTAATATTTGTTGACCTCTGCTTGATTTTCCTACGTTTCAATTGTGGCTTTTGCAGCTTAACACTTTGGGGCTTCTGCCGACACATGTATCAGACTGGGTTTCATCCTTGCCACCTGCTCAGGTAAGAATCTTACTCCATCTCTCGGCTCTCTGTATTGCATGGGCACGTGCCGGGCTTGTGCATGTGATCTGAACTACTCACTAGTTGCAGAAATGATACTACAACCCTTTTTTTCTTGGCGTTCAATGCTTTAAGTATTTTGATATTGAAACCACTTTTGGGCTCTGTGCCATTGCCTTCGTGGTTTCAAATCTTGTGTTTATCCAGTAGTCTCAAAGCATAGAGTTCTATTTTTAGTTGTAGGTGAAAGTAGCGCAGGTTTAGACATCCTTGTGAATCTATGATATGATTAACTTAGGATAAATTTTCTGTGAAAGGCATACGGAAGACTACTTAACGTATGATGTATTACCATATCCTCGAAATCCATTTGTATGGAAAAATTTCACCGAGTCAATCTTGCTACTGAAACTCATAAGCTGATGAAACATGGACAGAATTGGAATGTGCTTGTTTAACAAAAGAATAGTAAATAGTCATGCCTTTTCATTCACTGAACTCATCGAATTGAAAGGAGTCGCTTGTGCTAAATAGAGTTTTGATCAGTATCAGCACCTCGGAAACTTAATCTCTATGACATTAGTCCTTCAATCCCCTCTACCATTGCTAAAGGTTCATCGTCTTCTTTTTCAGGAGGTCGAATTTTCCGGTGGTGGCATCCCCCTTCGTTAAGACTCCCCCCTGTTTCTTCAGCTACCGACTGTGAAACCGACAGAGGAAATCACGGTGCGACTTCTTGATGATCGAATTGCGTGGGCGGACTGCTTATGTTGTGCTTGAACATGGTATCTATTTATATTACGCCTGCATGGATGGTGCTTGATCAAGAACAATGTTAGAGATGTGCTGAAGGCACGGTTTTATTTTTATTATCATTATTTTTTAAAATGGTACTGAGTTTTTCTTTATTACTAGTTTCAGCCAGTAGAATGTGACTGACTGGTAAAACCAGAACAAAATGCTCTACATGGAGTATGATTAACATTTTGATTTAATGCATTACAAATCTAGCGTAATTCTGGTTGAATATATAGAAGATGGAATTTCTAATATGATGTATAGTATATAATCTAATATCAATTATCGGATTTTTTTAATTAATATCAGCTATTTGTCACATAATGCTAGTGCTAAATAGAGATTAAATATGATTTAAAATTTAGAGATTGCAATTTTAATTCGTTAAAATTTAGAAGCTAATTAGGCATAAGTACATGGTTTTCTATATTTAAAAAATGGTATAATTCGTGGTTTTTAATATGATACGAGATATTTTTGCTTTCAATTTGTACTTCTTTACTCCCGTAAATTTGTAAATGAGAGATTATAAWTATGTTATATTATTTTTTCACTCGAGTAAAATTTCCAAATCTTTACGCAATACCCTAAAAAAATCATCGAATGAGAAATAATTAATCCAAAAAGTTTTTTTTAATTGGTAATTAATTCAAAAAGTTGAATATGAAATTTATACTTCAATTATTATTGGCATTCTTAATAATAAATGATCATCCTCCGCTGGGACATTTGCAAAAGGAAAATTCTTCTGTTGTCTCCATCATCGGTCTCTCTTAACTCTGTGCTCGATTATTGTCCGCCGCTAATGGATCTCGTCCCCCTACAACTGAGCATCTACGACGGCACAGACCTTCCGAATCTAATTTGCGTTGCTGTGGAAAGCCGTATTTTCCACGGCACGACCGGCGATTGAATCTACCGCCGTGGTGGTCCGTGTGCCAGTTTCGCCGGCAAGGATTCCGGCAGAGCCGTCGTAGAGATGACCGAGAACGACGAAGAATCGAGGTTCGTAATGATTGGGAATGAAATTTCTCGAGATTTTGGCTACTTTTGGCTTGCTGAATGAAATTTCGTGAATATCTGTTTCTAGGTATCTGAAACTCCTTAGAATTTGCACAAATTTATCGGTATTGTATGAACATTCAAAATCCTGGAATACATTAGCCATGATTGATGTGAAAAAATCATTTCTCTACATCTCTTTAATGGTAGATTTTTCATTGTATACGAGTTTTTTACCCTTTCAAATCAGTTTGGCAAGTCTTATGTTCTTATAACCGAAGACTTCTATTCAACACCATACCAAGAATGCCAATCCTCCATCATTCAAGCATTTTAGTTTGTTTTGATCATTGCAGAATTGTGAAATTGCAATATAATCTGCTCATAAAACTCATTAATTTTGATGCAAGAGATGATGTTCTTTTTATTTGTTCTCTTCTTTTCTTTCTCTCTTTGGTAGATGCTCTAGCCGATGGAAGTGATTGTTTGACTGGACTGTTTGGGAACCTTGTACATCCACCATCTGTGGAGGGTGCCAGTTTCTCAGTTGCTACCATTTTATTCAAATAGATTCATCTTCAACTATCCATAGTTCCTCATCTAAATCATTGTAATAAGCTTTTGGGGGTCATTAATCCAAATTTTATGTGAGCTACAATTATCGTATATGGTTATCTCGTGAGATTAATTGAAAAATATAAAATAATAGATCACTTTTGATGATAGACTATGACACAGAGCAAATTCAAAGTAATTATTGAAGTTGATAGTTTGATCTTCGATGATGGTTGAACTCGTAAGAGAAAGAAAAAGAGTACAATTTTTGTATCAGATTGGACCCCTTATAGTTTATGATAGGTGGATCTAGTAAAATAGATGATTCCTAGATACTAGTTTCCAGTTTGAATAAAAGATGAGATTGAGAAATTTCAGTCATCGGTCATCGAGAGGGACAAGAACAAGTAGGAGTCGTCCTATCTACTTAGAAAGATTCTCGAAGAATTTCTAATGTTATCAAAATCAGATTCTAGAGTACTTCATCTCTGAAATCCTTGACTACTACTACGAGAAGACCCATTTGACTCGAGATAAATGAATCTTTTCGTTTTATTTGAAGGACGAAGTTGGAAAAATTAGTGTCCTCCCCACGAGGATTGCAAATATGTGATGATAAGTAATCTGTGGCAAGCAAAAAGGAAGAATCTGTGACAAATCAAAGACAAAAAAATCTTATTTTCGATTGTTATTTGTCTTCCTAGCATCTTCATATGAAATCTTGACTTGGATAAAAATCGTGAAGTCAAACTTGTTTGGCATTCTATTAAAAACTACTTTTGGAATAGAAAAAATAAAAAACAAGGGTGAAAAATATATGTCATGAAGAAAATATTTATATCTCAATATAAATGTCTTCCTAAGCCAATTTAATCACCGATTTAGCTCTTAACATTTAAGAGATAGATATTTTTTTTTTCTTTTTGAAATCAGTCTCACAGACAATATTCGGTACAATCAAACAAAAATTCTAATACAACTTTAATTCTTGATACCTCGGAATGAGTTGTTGAACTTCTTGTATTACATATTGAACAAAACATAAGAGCCCATTCAAAATTATAGTATTATGACATAGTCCAATGATAAAGCATATATCATCAACCAAAATATGAGAGATTCAAATATTTGATTTTGATTATTGGGATGAGTGGATAGCTGGTAAGCAACTTCTCGAACTTAGCCAAAGTTAAAGATAGTTCAGGGTTCAAGCACATTGAGTTCAAACTCTTACATTCAAAATATTGAGCTCGATTGATCACCACGAAAAGAAGTAGAAGTTCTTGTCGAAGATGCTATGATCTACTTTCACTAATGATTTTAGAGAAAATCAAAGGAACTGCCCCATAATTTGATGGGCCTGAAGGGGGAAATGATGGAAATTGGAATGGTGGGTATTATGAGTTATTCCAGTCAAAAGCACCGCCTTTCCTTCTCCGCTAAGTCGTTCCACTTACCTTCCCATCCTTAACCTTAAGCTCTGTTTTCTCTTCTGCCCCTCGCCTCTCTCTACGCTTTTTCCTTCATAAAACGTGGGAGATTCGTCAAGCCAAATCCAAATTTTCCTCTTAGTTTTCCATAGCTAAACAACACATTTTTTTTTCTCCTTTGAGTAACTTCTATACTTTTCACTATCCCCTTTTAACAGTCGATTTCTTCTTACATAATATAAAATCATCCGTTTGATTTTCTAACAAAACAAATCTGTGGTTCTGCTGTGCATCCCTTTTTGAGCATGTCCCAAAGGAACCCATCTTATGCAAACCCAAAACCATGCAATCATCTCGCAGATTACAAGCTCAGATTTGGCTTAGACGGCTATAAATCCCTTCAAAATCGCCTTAAAACCACCCCCAATGGCAGAACCAGTATCCAAAACCCCGATTTGGAGCTACCCAGATGCTGTTCTTGCGATGGGTATAAAGGAAGACTTTACCTATGCTTGATTTGTGCTTCAATCTCCTGCTCGAATCACACCCTTCTCCATAACCAATCTGAAAATGGCCACGATTTGGCTGTTGATCTTGAAAGAGCTGAGCTCTTTTGCTATTCTTGCTTCGATCAGGTTTACGACCCCGATTTTGATCGTACGGTGATGTCGAAGCACATCATCGCCGCACCGGAGAAATCGCAGGCGGCGGCGGCGGCGGCGGAGAGTATTGGGGAGAGATCGAGTAAGAGAAGGCGATTGGGGTCTTTAGATTCATCGGATTTGAAGAAGTTGAAACCGTTGATTTCTGTAAAAGATCAGCGGTCGAAATCGTGCTACCCTTTGGGATTGAGGGGGTTGAATAACTTGGGGAATACTTGTTTTATGAACTCTGTTCTTCAAGTGTTTCTTCACACTCCTCCTTTGAGCAATTACTTCTTGAATGATCAGCACAACCGTGAAACTTGCGGGAAAAGACCCATTGGGCAGCTGTGTTTGCCCTGTGACATTGATGGTATTTTTTCTGCTGTGTTTTCTGGGGATCATATGCCTTACAGCCCAGCCCAGTTTCTCTACAGGTCTGCCATTGTATGTCTGTTTGTTTTTCCTGAGGTTGTTATCTAGGTTTCTCTCTTATTTTTTTGTCCCAATGCCTTCATTTTCTCTGTTGGGTGTTTGGTATTTTTCCAGTTTGAAGCTCTTGACAGAGTTAAGTTGTCTATGTAGAAGAATAAGTAGATGGTTCGAAACTATGTAACTCGATTACCATTTTATTTGAACATAATGTTGAGACTGTAAAAGTGTAAAAAAGATTAAATTTATCCTGACTAAGATCTTGAGTTTAGTGTTAATCTAATCATGGTAGGAGACTCTTTGTAAAACTCTTGCAATGTCATTTCCTTTCCCATCTCTATTAGTTTTGATAGTAACTTGCTGGCTCTCGTGCTAATTTTCGAATCAGGTAAAGTATTGAATAGACCTTAGTTTAAACTTTTTGGTTTAGTGGTGGTTTGATAGCAGTCGTTCTTCCAAAAACTGAGGTTTAGTGTAGTTTGTCGCGATTCTTTGGAGTGATTTATCTGTCTTTGAATCTGATGGTCATTTAGATCATATGGGTATTTTCTGAACTTTTCAAATCTTGTTTTCCATCTCTAAGCTGGTGGCAGCACTCTGCAAATTTAGCATGTTATGAGCAGCAGGATGCCCATGAGTTCTTCATCTCGGTTTTAGACAGAATCCACGAGCGAGAATGGAAATCTAGGAGTCAAGATAAAGGTGAAATGTTACTTTTCTCTGCTTTTAAATTAAAATTCATCTTTTTTTTTCTCTCTCTCTTTTCTCTTCCATGTTAAATGTTTAAAGAGACCACTTGTTTCTCTGGTCCTTTGTTGGAGCCTTATCCTATGAGTGTGACATCTAATTTGGCTGTTTCTGAGTATTTTGTATCCTATGGAGTATTGGATGGTTAAAAGTTCTATGTGAAATAAATAAAGGCATATGTTTTAATGAGTAAACGCAACTGTTGGTTGTTTGTCTGGGACGGTGTTATACTTAGTCGGGATCGGTGTTAGAAGAAACTAGAATGATCACACTTCATCGTGAAGCGGTTTGAAATTTAACTTAGATGAGATAAGAATGCATTAGAATAGGACGAACATGCTTCATCAGAACGGTGTTTAACATATAACTTAAATGAACTAGAAAGGTGCTAGAACAGACTATAAAGATAATCTGGGTTTGGATTGATTTTTGTATCTCTCACATGAAAACTCCTTTTTTTTTTTCAGCAGAGAATGGAGATTGTAAATGCATTGCTCACAAGGTATTCTCTGGACAGTTGAGATCAGATGTAACTTGTATGACCTGTGGGTTCACTTCAACGACTTATGATCCATGTGTGGACATTTCACTTGACTTGGACACCCGGGATTCCGCTTCTAAAAACAGCACTGGCAAGTCTGTGAAGCCAGCGGACTGCAGCAGTACATCGACACTTTCCGGGTGTTTGGATCTGTTCACGAGGCCAGAAAAGTTGGGATCCGACCAGAAACTTTTCTGTCAAAACTGTCAAGAAATGAGAAATTCAGTGAAACAAATGTCTATCAGAAGGCTGCCGTTGGTACTGTGTTTTCATATTAAAAGATTTGAGCACTCTTTTGTCAGGCGAACGTCGAGAAAAATCGACCGGTATTTGCAGTTTCCTTTCTCCCTGGACATGATCCCGTATCTGTCATCTTCTATTATCAGAAACAGGTATGGTAATAGGATTTTTGCTTCCGAGGGGGATGAATTAGATTCTTCATCGAAGTTCGAGGTTTTTGCGGTGGTTTCTCATTCAGGGACGCTTGAATCTGGCCATTATGTGACATACTTGCGATTGAGAAAACGATGGTATAAATGCGACGATGCCTGGATTACCGAAGTTGATGAAGAAATGGTGAGAAATTCGCAGTGTTACATGATGTTTTATCTACAAAAAGTGGTCAACTACAAACCAAATGAGGATTTGAGCTGCCTTCCAATTTCTCAATGTAACGATGCATTCCATCAAATCGCTGGTTGCTGTTAATCGTGAGATCTGCTGAAGGTTTCTCGATTGCGCCTCGTACATTCAACGCCGATAAAGCATCCAAATGAAAGGTCAGATGATCAGTGTACTTCAGAAGAGGAGATTGACATATTCTCTTCAAAGTTGTGTCCTTGAACGTTTCTGCTGCTTTATCTCTTTGAATGCGAGAATTTGGTTACCAAGTTTGAATCATTTACGCTCGAGAAATGAACTGGACAAATGTGACCTTAAGTGGGTCACTGAGGTCCGACTGATGGGACAATTTGAAAGCAAAAATGTCATCGATGGCCAACAAAATGTTCACATTCGATGTTCGATGTTAGACATTCGAATGTGTAGTGTTGATTCAGTGATGGCCTGAGATCAATAACAGGTGCAATATGGTTTGTAAGAGCATTGATGAGCCATGGGAAGGCTGTTACATTTTTTTTTAATAAGAAAGCCAAAGGTTCAAGGAATTCAAAACTTGATCTTTTGAAAATTGTAATAAGTTCTAAGCCCTGCTCATCAAAAGAAAAACCAAATCCTGCATGGTTAATTCAAGATTCTGACTTTTGTCCTTTTGAATCATCCATTTCTATAGATCTTCTTGAATCAATGAACATAGTTGTCAAAATGCAGACATTATTCTCTTTGGCAGTGATTTAAACATATGCTGATATTTTCATATGTCATGAGTTTAACGTCTGACATGAATGAAAGTTGAATTTATTGTAAAAAAAATGAAAAAAATATAGAAGTATATACATATATATTAGTATAATATTACTAATATGGACATGTTAGTATTAATAATTTTAAGTTTTTAATTAGTTCAAAAAGTGTGAAATGTTTATTTATTAATTTAAATATTTTTATATATTAATTTTTCTAAAAATATCCATCGACGTTGACATTTTATATATATATATATATATATATATATATATATATATATATATATTAATATTAGGAGAAGTATAGGTTAATATTTTAGACATTTATTTACATATTTTTTCTACATTAAATCAAGATGGTAAATCAATATTTATTTACATGGTGAAAAATTACATTTAAAAAGCTTAGAAATTTACTTTAAAAAGTTGGTGTAGCATACCATCCATGAAAATTTATGGAAGGAAGTAAAATCAAAATAAATAAAACAATATTTATATATAATTTTATGGCAAGTAAAAAATGATTTGAAATTAATAATAAGCTCAATCTTACTGGTTAGATTGGATTGATCAGTTATTCGGGTCATTAAAGTTTTAACATCCCCACTCAACATTTCCATAGATATCCACCAAAAGATCTTGGTTACTATCCAGTATTATTAATGATGTAATATTTAAAGATAAATATTATAATAATACGAGAAACCATAGTGTGGTGGAAATGGGCCTGGCCCGCTTAATTTGAAGCCCTAGAACTAGAAGCATACGAATATAAAGAGCTCTCAGGCCTGTATGGCAACAGGCACAAGCTGCCTCCGTGACCAAACAGCTCTGAAGTTATTTCGCCCTTATCCCGGATTAGGGTTAACTCTTCCGACTAACAGATTTTCTTAGGCGCCAACTGAAACTCCTTCCATTTCCCACTCCTCGGTACAGCTACTACAGGTAAAACCACCTTACAGTTCCACCCTCCTCCTGCATTTCTTCTCTCTGCTTGTTTTTCTGTTCGCCGTTCGAGCGCTTTTGAGGTATGATAACGTTCAAGCATTGTGTTGCGTATGATCGAATCCTTCAATGCTGTTTACTGTCGTAATCTAGAAGCTGAATTTGCTCATGATATCACGAAGGTGTGTTACGTTGGAGAATACTTCGATTTATGTGATTTTTTCGTTCTTCTTCGTTCTTCGCGGATTTAAAATTTTGGAACTGGCTTAATTCAAGATATTGAAAATATTTTGAGTAGGCGGGATTGCACGGAGGTGATATTACGTGTGGCAATGAGTGTATAAATTATACTTTTGATTTATGACGTATTCATTCTTAATGCAAGCAGATTTTTTATGATTCTCCATTGCATTGTCCTGCATGTTAATCTGCGCAGTTTGTCTAATAGTGGCTGCTTTGGAAGTGTTTATGATCATTGTTGGATCATTGCATCTACAAATATTATTAATTGAACAATAACGACCAATTTTCTACTCCCAGTGTGGTGTGGAAGTCTTTATAGATCTTATTAGAGGTCGACATGGAGCCGGTAGAATCCTTACTTCCTTTTTATGAGAATTCAATATATTGTTTTGAATTTTGAATGCTTTAGTTCTCCCTTGTCCTTACTCTCGAGAATAGTTAGAACTTAGAAGTGAAGTAATTCATATCAACTTCTGTTTTCCTGTGTATATCAAGCATCCTAAGTTCAATTTAATCCCCTAGGTAATGTCTTTGCAAAAGGCTATTCCTAGAATTTAACCTTCCACCTTGTATAGCATTCCTTGCATATGAATAAAGCATGTATAATGAGTAATCTAAGACTGTTAATGATTTCTACAAGGAATGGGCAGCCAAACTATTACTAGTCATGAACGCTCCAGGACATATTGGACTCCGGTGATGGAACGTTACTTTATAGATCTTATGTTAGAGCAGCTTCATAGAGGAAACAGGAGTGGGCACACTTTCAACAAGCAGGCATGGACAGACATGCTTATGATGTTTAATGCAAAATTTGGATCCCAATATGATAAAGATGTTTTGAAGAGTCGTTATACAAATTTGTGGAAGCAATTCAATGATGTAAAGAACCTATTAGGTCATAGTGGTTTTTCCTGGGATGAAAGTCGACAAATGGTGCTAGCTGACGACTATGTATGGGATGTTTACATCAAGGTGAAACATTTAATCTTATTATGAATCAATCTGAAGTGTGATAGTGACTTGCTGCGATTTTAAAAGACGGCATATTTTGCAGGCCCATCCAGATGCACGATCTTATAAAACTAAAGCAGTGCTGAATTTTAGTGATCTATGCCTGATATACGGATATACTAATGCTGATGGAAGATACAGTCGATCAAGTCATGATATAGACTTTGATGATGAAGCCCAAGCTGTAAATACAGGTAAAAAAAATTTATATTATGGACTTGTGTTTAACCCTTGTAGAATACATAACATGAGTAATGGCTCTCTTTTCCCTGCCTCTTCAGTAGTGGGCAGAGTCAACTTTCCTATAATATCGACTTACCCAGTTACCCTCATTCTCAATTTTCAGGTGATGGCATTGGCTGCTCTGCACCTCCTGATCGTCTGAGGACAGACTGGACGCTAGAAATGGACCAATATTTCATTGAGCTCATGTTAGATCAAGTAGGAAGAGGCAATAAGACATCTAATACATTCAATAAGCAAGCATGGACTGATATGCTTGCGACGTTTAATGCTAAATTTGGTCCTCAACATGGCAAAAGGGTGTTAAGACACCGATTTAAGAAATTATGGAAATACTACAGTGATATTATGAATCTACTTCAACAAAAGGGGTTTTTCTGGGATGAAGTACAACAGATGGTTGTTGCTGAAGATGATATTTGGGATGCTTATGTCAAGGTATCTCTTCATTTACATTTTGTTGTTAAAACTTAATAGTAAATTCCTTTTCCCTCACTTATTAATTTTCTTCTAGTGTTGTGATGGACTTTAATGAATGCAGACACACCCATTTGCACGAAGTTATAGAATGAAAGCTTTACCAAACTACTATGACTTGGTCCTCATATATGGGAATGTAGATAATGAGAATCGGAATCAGTTGCATCTAGATAAAAACCTTCAAGAAGACATATCAGAGGTAAAGGGTGGTGAGTCAAAAGTTCTTTGTAAACATCTTGGTCTTTTACAAAGCTATTGAGAACCAACTGAAACCTTGTGATGGAGATTACCGGAAGAAAAGGAACCTTATCAATACTTATCCACACTTTGTATCCTAGACTATGTACGATTGGAAAGGGATCATTGATCTTTTCGGTTTCTTCATTAAACTAGTTAGAGAAACATTTTAGTTATGCCGTTGGTTAATTTGGTTTTAGAAACTCTCGATGGCTGATAATGAAGCTTTTGTTTTTATGTTTTGTGTAGAAAAAATAAAAGATGCATGTGGATTTAGTTATATAAAAAATAAATGATTTTCATCCATTCACTTTGCAGACATAATAAAAGTGTTATGCACCTGCAGGAGAAACAAATGAGAATCAAATGCCTACCCTCGGTGACCGTACAAGAACATATTGGACACCCCCAATGGATCGTTACCTTATAGACTTGTTACTAGAACAGGTGCATAGGGGCAATAAAATAGGTCAGACATTCGTAAGTCATGCTTGGATTGACATGGTTACTGCTTTCAATGCCCAATTCAGAGCTCACCATGACAAGGATGTTCTGAAAAATCGATACAAGCATTTGAGACGGTTGTATAATGAAATAAAGATTCTTCTTGAACAGCGAGGATTTTCATGGGATGAAAGTCGCGAAATCGTTACTGCTGACGACTACGTTTGGGACACTTATACTAAGGTTTACACTGTTTCCACTGAATGGTTTGAGTTTTTCTTCCCCATCCTGTTTCTTCTGCTTATGTATTAGATGCACAGGAACACCCTGATGCCCGATCTTATAGAGTTAAGACTGTACCAAGCTATCATAAGTTGTGTATTATATTTGGTGAAGAATGTCCCGATAGAAGATATAGCCGTTTGGCCCATGATGCTGACCCAAGTAATGAAGTACCTGTTCTGATGACTGGTATGTATAATTAGTCATATTATCTCAATTTATGGGTCTGTTTCTTGGAGACTGAAAAATATGTTGCTTTAGCAGTTTATATCTGTAATTTTTAGGTGATGATCAAGTCCCTGCTGGACCTTTACCTACGACGGATTGGACACCACAGATGGATTGCGCTTTTATTGATCTTATGTTAGAGCAGTTGCAAGAAGGAAATGCCATTGGCCAAGCATTTAGTGAGCAAGCATGGACTCAAATGATCATATCGTTCAATGAGAGGTTCAAACTTCAATGTGACAGATTTGTTCTAGAAGATCGTTATTTCTGGTGGATGAAGCAACACAATGAAATCTACAATCTTCTCAATCATAGTGGGTTTGTGTGGAATGAATCTGGACAACTGATTACTGCTGAGGATGATATCTGGGAAGCTTATGGAAAGGTGACTTCATTTCCCGATACTTCAATATTGTAGACATTTTCATTACATTTCAACAGAAATTCCATGAATTTTGCTTTTGGATCAACTGATTAGGAGGCTTTACCCAGAGAACGGAACGGGTGTACTTATATCGTTTGTAACGCCCCTTTGATATTCTTATTATTTTTGGTTTTTGGGTTTCTGTATCTGAAATGTTATCTTATAAATACTACTTCCACATGGGGCTTTTTTTGGTTTTATTATCTACTTTTTAAAACATCGTCAAAACCTAAGCCAATTTTCCAAAACTAGAAAAAAGTAGTTTTTATAAACTTGCTTTTGTTTTTTTAAATTTGGCCAAGAATAGTGAAACACACACCAAAGAAATTGAGAGAAAGCAGGCATCACTTTTAAAAATTGAAAACTAAAAATAAAATTGCTATTAAACGAGCTTAAATTCTATGTAATGGTAGTTTTGCTTTCTTTTGTTTCTTCTGCATTCTGCTTAGAAAGACTTCAAATTTTGATGACTTTAAATGAAGACATTATTGATTATCCTATGAACAAAATTTTGCAGGAACATCCAGATGCCCTTATGTACAGAGACAAATTCTTAGGCTACTATACCAATTTGTGCAAGATTTTCGGAAATGTAGTAGATAAAGTAGTCATTGGTCAGTGTACGGCCGAAACCGATCACGAGAATCTGGAGATAAAGATGGATGGAAATGGACACCTACAATTAACGTCTAGAGATATTCAAATTTCTGAACAGAGGAAGCGTCCATTGGAGACGATATCATCAGACAGAGGACTCGATAAGAAAGTGCATAGAACCGAGAACAGCGTGCAAAAAACTCTCTCCGAGATGGCAGGTGTTGTCACCAGATTGATGAACATGAAGCAGCACAATAACTACAAAGTAGTAGAAGGTGCAATAGATGCACTTCAGGCTATACCGGAGATCGATGACGATCTTATGTTAGATGCTTGCGACCTCTTAGAAGACGAAAAGAAGGCGAAAACTTTTTTGGCCTTGGACGTAACCCTGCGAAAGAAGTGGTTACTAAGGAAGCTTCGTTCTCTATAAAATCATTGACAACAGGTATCAAAGATTCCTTTATGCCAAGTATTTTGCAAAGTTCCTTATTAGTTTATAGAGTAAAATAGGAATGATGTTGATAGTTTCCCATATTATTATGTTCTAGTTTTGTCCATCTCTCCATGATAGATCGTTGAAACGTATAGTCATATTTTACTTATGATATGAAAGTATTTTGCAAAGTTCCTTGTTAGTTTATAGAAGGGAATAATGTTAAGTATAAAAATGGAAAAAGGTTTCACTTCTCTTTCAATCTCTTAACACCAAATAAAGAGATGAAGTTTTATAATTATTGTGGTCAGCTCATGGCCCATGGGTTTGCCCTGTATAGAATTGTCAGTAAGATAAGTTTAAAAAGTTAAAATCACTTTGAGGTTCTGAAATAATTAAGAAGTTTTTCTTTTTATAAATAAATAATTAAAAAGTTCAAATCATACGAATCTGCTTACAACAAAAATCATCCAACTGTCCAACAAAATCCTATGATTTTAAATGTCCGTTTCTTGTAGGAAAAAAATTTGTCCCGTGAAATGAAATTAATTAAGGTGCATTAACGTGGCTAAAATACCAATACATTAATTAAATAAAAACAGAATTAACAAGTCAAAGCTTGATAAAGAAAATTCACTCTTTCTAAAATTATAGGATATGTATAATTCATGCAACTGGGAAAAAAACCGACATTTATCTTTATTAAAAGGTCCAAAACAAAATGTTTAGAATAGGCAAACAATCCTTCGAAATTCCATAATTTTATAGAAATATAGATGGATAGTTATTTTTGGAAAAACTATACAATAAAAATCCCATAAAAATGACATAAATTAACAATTATTACACGAATCTAAAATAAATTTAAAATTCTTAATATTAATACTACATAACGAATCCATATCAATTGATTTTTTTAATATATATTTCGTGATATATAAAAAATTGTGATTTCACCGTGTCCACGTAAATTGAATACCTTGCTCTTGGGCTGCAGACATTGCCATCCGAGAAGGCAACATCCCGCAAGAAGTAATATCTCAAACTACATCATTATAAATATGATATGGTTAAAATTACAGGACAAGAGACCAAGTAAATACAAGTTTAACTCATACACGGTATCCATACAATTCAATGTCGATAAGCCTCTGTAACGGTAAACATATGTACATTCCTTCTTCTCTTTTCTTCCTCTGATGATTTTAACTGCTGTAAACTTTCTCCCCGCTCGAGATTTTACGCGGCAACAAGCTTTTGGATGTCCTTCTAAGAAATCAAAATAGCAAAAATTGGAGCTGGAAAGTGTTCACAACTCAAAAAAGCACTTTATTTTCAAGAATTATAGCTTGGTTGCTGACTCTGAATGCATAGTTCACGACCAACAAAGGAATACAATCATAGTTAACTTTCCACATTTACCCTCTGCATAAATTCCCAATAATGTGAAAAGTTCCAGCAGACCAAAATTTGGAGCATGATATATAAGATTCTATGATCTAATGTACATACATTCTATCAGTTTCATCATAAAGGATTTCATAGCATATCCTTGGGGAGTCAGCATAAAACTAGGCGAAATTTCTAATGCGGTACATGATTTAAGAGATTGTTATCTCGACTGAAAGCTGAATCAACAATGTCAAACAAAAATATTAGGGCAGTACGTGGAATAAATACTTCGTGGATCATCAATGACTGAGAAAATATGCCTTGAAAGTTAATTTCATTTTTCGTTTTCTGTTTTTGAAAATTATGCATGTTTTTGTACAATTTCATTTCACCAAAACATTTTTGAATTCTTAGCTAAATTTAAAAAACAAAATCTAAATTTTCGATTTCTTTTTTATATAATATAATTTGACATAGATTTCAAAAATGTTTATAGAATAGAACTATATAACAAACCAGAGAAACACATGGTTGAAAGTAATGTTTTTTTTTTTGTCAAATATTCGTTCGACTAATCTCACGAGACATAGTTGAAAGTGATGTTAACATTACTAGATTGGAGAGATATGAAGAACACAACTTAATAGCTAAAACAGTCAACGCTTGCAAAAATTATATAATGCAACGAAATTCAGAATGATGCACCTTAAAAAATAAAACCAGCCATACCTCAATTTGAAAAGGTGATGTTGTTGGAGGGTATCTCTCAACAACTTTACCATTTTTGTCCACCAAAAATTTCTCAAAGTTCCACTTGATAAGATCGCCTAAAAACCCTCCAGCATTTGATTTTAGAAACTGATATACTGGAGCAGTATTCGGACCATTGACATCGACCTGATATACAGCAATTCTATTACTATTTTGCTACGTTCGCATTAAATTGCGTCCCGTGATAACATATACAATCGATATACCTTGTCAAAAATTGGGAACTCCGCTTTGAACCTTGAGCAGGCAAACTGCTTGATTTCTGGATTGGACCCAGGTTCTTGACCTCCAAATTGGTTGCAAGGAAAAGCCAAAATCTCCAATCCTACTCACCCCAGACAAAAACACATACATGAGATTGTGATAATACATACTTCTCAGATGTTATATAAAATAATATGGACAATTCTTTCCCAAACCAAACACAAATCTCTCAACTCGCTTGGCTGAACCTGATATCTTCGTCTGGGAGAGTGAGAATTGACTCATACAGCTCAAATATAAAAGAAACTGACCAAATAACATGTGCCATTAAAACCAATATGGTGACTGAACATATATCAGCTCTTTAGAAATTCACAAAGTTATGTTATGCACAGCCCACACTATTGAGCTTTAAGCTTCTTACTAGCCAAACGACTGTTCTTGCTATGCATGTTCAAATATATGCACCAAGTAGTAAGAAGATTCATAAAGAACTAAGATTCCTATCCATCTAATTCACTTCAACAAGTCAACAAGTTCGGCTGTATATCTGAAGGGGAACATCTTCTTAAATACACTACAAGCTCCAAATTTTGTAATCTACAGGGACGCTATTTTTATGTTGCCTTGGAAGTTCTTTGAGCAATACACGTGGTAACAAAAGATGTTCATTCATTCGCTAGGATATTTTCAGCCAACTTTGATGTCGAATTTCATTTAAGAAATGCCAAAATAGAAAAGAACTTGAACGAACACCTGCCATAGAGGTAAATTGGTGTAACCAAGACAAATACATATACACAGTTTTAGACTCTCGTCTACAACTTATTCAGGCATATTAACCAAAATTAGGAAAATAAGTCTTGTAGAGGAAGGATCAATTACAGTAACCATATTATAACTGAAAGAAAGCCACAGAATCATTGATGGAAAAAACTTATCAGATTAGCTAAAACAAAGTATTCGTCAGGTGTTCAACGGAGTCCCAAGAAATAATGCAACTCCTACCAAAGCTTTTTCATACCTTGAGCTTTATACTTCTCATACAAGTGTGACAGTTCTGAGTAATTTGCAGTTGTCAAGCCACTGGAATAAAAAAAAGAAATCTTTAATGAAATAATAGAATACAAATTTATAATAAGCCTTTTCAGAAATCCAGACTGCATAATTTAAGGCTAAGCATCTAGCCTAACCAAAGTTAGCTAGGGTTGAATACCATCTAGAAGCAACGTTTACTATCAATAGAACCTTCCCTTTGAACTTGCTCAGAGAAACATCTTTTCCATCAATATCCTGCACCAGAAAACACTCTCCTACTAAGTCATAAGCATCCTAAAGAAATCCATTTTGAAAATTTCTATTCAGCTTCATAATACATTCAAAATTAACTTCCTGGAGGGAAGAATCTATGCTCATTTGTTAAATCACTACTAAACCTAAAAATTTAAGATAATATGTCAAAGACGTGTCTCTATCATACATGAGCTTTGAACATAAATTTGATTCACGAAACCAAACACGTGAACCATTAATACCAATGGAAAAGTAACGAAAATCAGAATTCACACAACCTAATATCTTGTTAAATCGAAACTTACCTCAAAAGCTTTGGTTATATGCTATATTTAATTTTCATATATCTACATAGACATCATTCGATGCAGAAAAACTTCTTTACCGTTTTGGCATGAAAGAGATGGACAGACAAAACCGCAAGTTTCAAAATTAACTACAATTCAGCATTGACTCTTGCTGAAGTGTATGTTGCCACAGCGAAATTGTATTCTCCAGTCAAAATTCAACAAAAAATCAAAAATAAGCACAGACAAACCACAATTCATCATCACTCCAGAGGAACAATATTGAAGAATTAACACTCAAACGAAAAGGAATAAAAGTAAACATAAAAACACCTTAACAGTGAAGTCATAAATATTCTTATCCGTAGCCGCCCTGGCCGAAACACCAGAAAATTGAGCTTTCGAGAAGACGCAACGAGAATTCAACGACTGCAGAGGCAAATTATGGCGCAGAAAAGCCGACTTGGAAGAGCCGAGCGAGGTTTTGAGGGATGGAATCAAAGAAGCAGCCATGGAAGGCCAGGAAGCAAGAGAAGCGCAGAAACTTGTTCCGGTCTGCGAACAGACATTGAAAGGAGCCGAGAAGGAGGCCGAGAAAGACATGGAATCCCTGAGAATGCGGTGGATTGGGAGATGGAGGACCGGAAATTGACCTGTGAGTTGCAGAGCGTTTCTGAAGAAGAAGAAGCAGATTGCGACTAACTGTGTAAAAATGAATGGCACATTTTTCGAAGCTCTTAATAAGCATTTTAGTGTGGAAGATGTGCTTACACGTGTTATTAATTTATTATTGCCTATTATATTTATTTATAGCTAATTTTAATTTCTCATTTTTGGTGGTCCTTGTGAGTAATTATTATTAAGGAAATTTTGTGCTTTATGGTTTCTTGTCGTCCTTGCATTGCATGTGCCTCTTAATATTTTAAGGAAACAAAAAAGGTTGCCAATTTCAGAGTAATTCAAATAAGCATGTTATGGCAGAGGGTGGGAAAGTCGCCTTTCATTTGCTATCGTACCAAATTCTATAAAAGTTTTTATTAAAAATTAAAGCCTTCGTATTTTCACGACGAGAATTTGAAATCATAATCTCTTAATCATAAGTAGATATCAAGTCACATCGACTCAAGTTTTTTTAGAAAAAGTCAAACTTCCATATTAAATAATCATTTCAATAATTATTTTTTTTAAATAATCTCATTAAAAAATGAATTTTGTTAAATTTCTTAAGAATGTTGGTTAATTTATAATACAAATTATATAAAAGCAAAATCTTAAAATATTATTAATACATGTCCAAAAATGTAAATTAACGATAATGACTACTAATGATATATATATATAATATGGAGGGAGGGAAAGAAAAAAATGAAAAGTGTAGCTAGAGGTGAGCGTGGAAATCTGAAAAATCGAGCCAATGGATCGAAAAGAGGTCGGTTGGTCGGTTTTACACACTATCGATTTTGGGGTTCCTAAATCGAATTTGTTGGTCGGTCGATGGCCGTCGACTAGACGATACCGATCGAGCGACCGACAATATAATCTAATTTCTTTTTTTTATTAACAAAAATCAAACATTTGTTTCTCAATTTAGGGTTTCTCTTTCTCAAATCTCAAGTTATGTTCTTCCCTCACGTCGTCGCTCACTCTCTCCGCACTCTCTCAATTCGCTTCGTCGTCGCCCTCCGCCATCATCGTCTCCGACTCGCCGTCCAACCACCCATGTCCAACCGCCCCCTCTTCTCGCTGTCACTCTGTTCTCCCTCATTCCCTCTTCTCTTCTTCGCCTTCGCCGTCGTCGAGTCACCGTCCAACCTCCCCCCGTCTCTCGCCGTCGCCGTCCAAACTCCAACCACCCCCGTTCTCCTCGCCGTCCAACCGTCCTCTGTTCTCCTTGCTGCAAACCGCGCCCCCGCCCCTCGGGGCCTCAGGAAAAAAGCCAAAGGATACAGTATTTAGAAAAAAAATTGGTTAAATCGACAAACCGACAGATAGAACCGATCGCGGTCGGAGCCATGCATAGGAGGGAAATTGTCGGTTTCTATTAGAAACCGATGTGGTCGAACCGATCTCAACCCTAAAGTGTAGCAAGGAGGGAAGTAAAAAATGAGGGAGGAAAAATGTGAACTAAATGGGTTGCAGGCAGGTATGATTAAGAGATTCATTGGACTATTTTTTAAATAAAACATAAGGCAAGGACTGGGGGAGGATAAAATATTCCACACATCCAATGACAAGTCCTTATGGATCCGCTCCAAAATACATATATATACATACATACATATACGTGTGTTTGTCTATATATATATATATATATATATATGTTATAATTAGACTCAACCAATTGAAGTGTATATTCCACTAAAAGATTGTTTCATATTTATTCGATTGATTTAAAAATAATTTAAAGTTAAAAAGTTAAATATTGCATATAAACTAAATATCCGTAGCCAAAGCAAACATAAATCAGCGTAATTGACATATATATTCAATCAAGAGATTGAGTTCGATATCTCATCCCACATGTTATACAAAAAAAACTAAATATGATTTATTGGAAGTTTTTATTTAAATTCCGTGTTTATTCACGGACATGAACATTAAATGGAACGAAGAGATAAAATCACGATTTTCAATTGTTTTTTTTCGTTTTAAAAATCATGTATCACTGTCAAAGTGAGCATAGCTCAACGGTAATTGTCATATATTTCTAACAAAGATATTGTGATTTAGACCCCCACCGTCACATGTCGTACCAAGAAAATATATGACTACTAACAAATGGTTTGTTTTCTAATATTATTTAAAGTGTATTTAAACCAAATATTGAAGATTTGAAAGGAAAATACACTGGGCTGGAGCAAAACGAATGGTGGACCATAAACACTAGACGAAGCCGAGCCTACAAATGAATGGACCAGGCCCACTTTAGAGTAAACTTATTGGGCCAGAATAAACAGAATTTGGGCCGCGGGGCCCACATAATGCTTTCAAGATTCAGCGAACAAGTAATAATTGTAATTTTATTTCTCAAAGTATTTAATTGAAGGTGGAATCCGCTTTCTCAGAACAACAGTGCAATGCAAGAGACGGAAATCCTGAAATAGAGCGGATTTTAATTATTATAAAATTAAGCAATTTATTTTATTTTTTTGTTAATTAAAAAAAGGGGAATAACGGCAACAATAAGGGTTTCTTTGGAGCTCGCGTTTCTCCTCACTCACCCCATTCTCTCTTTGCAGCTGCGAAGAGAATACAGAGACGCAGGTAGAGATAGAATCCTACTCTGTCTCTATCTGTCGAAAATAATCTCCAAAAGCCAACATCCTCCATATCTCAATCCTCTTTTTTCTCCGCTTCGAACGATTCTCTATCTCTCTCTCGTCCCCTCTTTCTCTCTCTCTCTCCTCATCCATCTCTGTGACGCGCAACAAAGAATTGCATCGGTGGAGTTATGCAGGCAGATCAGACGGCGATAAGTTTGAGACCAGGTGGTGGCGGTGGCCTTCGTGGAACCAGATTTGTTACCCCTCGCTTCGATTCTTCCTCCGCCGATTCCTCGTCGCTCCGTCCACATGGCGGCGCTGTGCCAATCTTCAAGGTCGAATTCCATCTCTGTTTATTATAAAAATAGCGTTAGGGATGCGATATTCGTGACATATGTTATACGTGTGGATGATTTTTGGGGATTCTGTCGTGTATCTGTGTTTTTATCAATATGGATGTATGGATTTGTTATTTGTAGATCTGGAATGTTTAAAAGTGTTGTCTTTCTCCCGTTTTGACGTTATTTTTACCGTGGGTTCCATCTCGGTTTTCACGTTGCTTGATAATAGATTAGCTTCTATAATTCACGGTAATCGTGATTTCAGGATTTCTTCTATGAAGCGATATTGTCCTAATTCTTGTCAGGGCACTCAAGTACGTGTATCTGATGTAAATATGGACATAGAATATCATGTAGGATTTTAGGTGGGCATTGCTTGAGTTCATGATGCCCATAAAGAACCTACATTACATATAGATTTACAAAATTTATAGAGATTGGTCAATGCAGTGGGATATAGGATATGGGGCATTGCCTTCAGTCAGGAAAAGTTACTAATGTTGATCTATCAGAAGCCCAACCTTTTAGTGTGTCTATGAAGTGTCATTGCTGTGTATGTATGTATATGTATTATTATTTCTGTTTGTTGAAATGCTTATAGTATTTGACTGAATAATTTAAGAGTAAAAAAATAGACACGATAGTTAGCTGCACACCATCTCATTCTAATAAGATGTAGAAACTACATTCCATATCTAGACATGGGAACAACCATGTGTTGGTCTTGGTTCAATAATCAAAGAGGTGAGCTATATGTCCAGATATTTGAGATCATAAGGTTCAAACCATGATGACCACTTACTGGAAAATATTCTATTGAGTTATTATATGGTTCATGCCAAGTATGAGTGATTATAGGGTGCATTAGTTGGTTCTTATCCAAAAAAGGCTGCATAAGTTGGTGTTGGCCCCTGTGATTGCATTTACAATTAAAACGTAAGCATGATAATTTCTATATCTTCCTTCAAAAATCTTTAGGAGTCTGTTTTCTGGTTATAGGCCTAGACAATCACTTTCCAGATCAATTGTTTAATTTAATTTTGTGTATGATTATATACGCTGTCTAATGGTTATATGCTGCGAATTTTTTTAGACTGGAGATCTACGGTTCGAAGGTCGTGAGAGAATCCAATACACTCGAGACCAGCTTCTGCAGATTAGGGAGGTACTGGTTCATCTATCCGTCCCTAACTGCCATTAGGTTGATTGGCTGATGCTTTTTGTGGGTGTAGAGAAATTGTCCATTTTTGTGTCATATTTAGTTCAATCTGCGGCGTTGTTATGGTTTTGATTACCATCATATGCTCTTATTAGATTGTCAATTAACATATTTATCTTCTCAGGTTGCAACAGTCCCGGAGGATATATTGAAGGTCAAACTAGAAGTTGAGACTGAGATTGTTGGGGAGGATCAAACATGGGCTCGTTCTGAAAGCATTGTAAGTTTTAAAAGGGATTTTTCCTTTTCCTGTGTCACTGGTTTTACGTATGAATCAGTTCATAACTCAGAACATAAAGTTACTGAACTAAAATCGTAATCATCCCTGTATAATTCCCTTACTCCTACTTTCAACACACACACAGTTGTAGAACCTTGTTCAAACTTTAATAACACGTATGTTCCTACTTTCTTTAGCCGCAATCACAATCTCAAAGCCGTTACTTTGAGCCTGACAATCGAGACTGGCGTGGTCGATCCGGACTGTTACCTGCCTCTGCAGATGAAGGATCTTGGGAGGCAGCTCGTGAGAATAAGGATTTTTCTGGACAATCTGAATCAAGGTTGCAAGGCTCAAATAATAGGTCTCAAGTTTCTGGTAACCAAGGGGTAATAATTTTCCATCAGTTAACTTTCCCTATCTGAGGTTGCATTATTAAATCTTACGAAGGCATATTGCCCCTTCCTCAACTGATATGTTAGATTTGCTGGCTCTGGCATTGTTCTTATTTTGTTTATGTGCGAACAGGTCGGTACTGCACCTGCCCTTATCAAGGCTGAAGTTCCTTGGTCAGTTAGAAGAGGTAATATCTCAGAAAAGGAACGTGTTCTGAAGACGGTAAAAGGGTAACTATTATACCCCCAATTTACATTTCACAGTATGTTGTGGAAAATTGGAATTAGAGATGGTAATTCCTTTACTTGTTTTGCAGCATACTTAATAAATTGACCCCAGAAAAGTTTGACGTCCTTAAGGGTCAACTGATTGACTCTGGAATTACAACCGCTGATATTTTAAAGGTTCGTACTATTGCATATAGTGTGTTTATTTCTGTGCTTCGAGGCGATTTGTTAGACAATGAACTAACATGATTTAAGTTTTGGTATATAGGATGTTATATCTCTTATATTTGAGAAGGCTGTGTTTGAACCCACATTTTGCCCTATGTATGCACTTTTGTGCTCTGACCTTAACGAGAAACTTCCACCATTTTCATCTGACGTGCCTGGAGGGAAAGATATCACGTTCAAACGAGTCCTCTTGAATATTTGCCAAGAGGCATTTGAAGGTGCTGATAACCTGAGGGTAGAAATCAGGCAGATGGATGATCCTGAGCATGAAATGGAAAGAAGAGATAAAGAAAGAATGGTTAAGCTTCGTACTCTAGGAAACATTCGCCTGATAGGTGAGCTTTTAAAACAGAAGATGGTGCCTGAAAAGATTGTTCACCATATTGTCCTGGTAACTATCAGTACTCATCCACGTACATTTTTATGATCTCTGTTCTGAATGGTTGGTGTAGTTAATTTGATTCTATTAACAATGCACAGGAGCTTTTGGGGTCTGATAATAAAGCATGCCCTGCTGAGGAGAATGTTGAGGCTATTTGTCAGTTTTTTAACACAATTGGTAAGCAGCTGGATGAGAGCCCAAAATCTCGGCGGGTCAATGATTTATATTTCAGCAGGTTGAAGGAGCTCACCGCAAACACCCAACTAGCACCAAGGTTAAGATTTATGGTTCGCGATGTTCTTGATTTACGGGCCAATAACTGGGTTCCTAGGCGCGAAGAGGTGAAATTCTTTTGTATTAGTTAATGATTATGGTTTTACAAGTTCTTTGTTCGAGTTACTTTTTATGGTCCTCTTATGTTTTGTCTTTCTGCAGTTCCATATTCTTATAGGCCATTATATAAATTAAAAAAAAAAAAACAATGTTTTTATTGGCCAAAATCCCCTGCTGACCAAGTGGCAGACACTTGTATTATGTTGTGTTTGGCATCACCTTTTTAAAAATAGATCTGAAGATCCTCATTTCTGATAGTTTCTAGTAACGAAGATGTTCATTAGATTCATTATTTGAGATCTTGTGTAGAAAGAAATTAAACTGATGGTGTGTGGCTGTTGTAAAATGGCGAGAAAGCAGCCATTGTCTGTTCTCTCTGTTTCGTTGATAATTGAGGTTTGCTATTTGACTTGTTCTGGGGCCTTCTCTAGAGATTTTTTTTCCAACTTAACCGTTGTCATGCCTGGGAACTTGCAAATCTGATAATTCCTTTCTGGGGTGCAGGTGAAAGCAAAAACCATCACTGAAATTCATTCAGAGGCCGAGAAGAATCTAGGGCTTCGTCCGGGTTCGATTGCTATGATGAGAAATGGCCGTAATGCTGCTGAGGCTCTTGGAGGATTAAGTCCTGGTGGTTTTCCTGTTGCCCGACCCGGCTTTGGAGGTATGATGCCTGGAATGCCTGGAGCCAGGAAAATGCCTGGTATGCCTGGATTTGATTCAGACAATTGGGAGGTTTCAAGATCCCGAGCAATGCCGAGGGGCGAAAGCGGAGGTCCTACTCAGGCTTCTGCCCGTGTCCAGACACCATTAATCGGCAAAACACCTTCCATCAATTCAAAATATCTACCTCAGGGAAGTGGTGGTGTAATAACGGGTAAAACAAGTGCCTTGTTGCAGGGTAGCGCTGCATCTCCTGCCCGACCAAGTTCCACGCCTGGAACTCAGCCTGTATCTCACAACCCTAGACCAGTTGCTCCGGTTGCATCAGCCATGCCCTCTCCCCAGAAGCCTGCAACTCCTGCTGTGGTGTCCAACTCTGCTGATCTTCACAAGAAAACTGTTTCGCTACTTGAGGAGTACTTCAGCGTACGGATTCTCGATGAAGCTCTACAGTGTGTAGAGGAGCTGAAAACCCCAGCTTATCACCCTGATGTCGTTAAGGAAGCCCTTACCATTGCACTTGAAAAGATTCCACCATGCGTCGACCCAGTTGTTAAGCTTCTCGAGCACTTGCTGAACAAGAATGTCTTGACTGCGAGGGATATAGGTTCCGGGTGCCTTCTGTATGGGTCAATGATGGATGATATCGGCATCGATCTACCCAAAGCACCAAACAATTTTGGTGAGATTCTAGGGAAGCTAGTTTCGATCGGGGGTCTGGATTTCGCCGTTGTGAAGGAGGTTCTTAAGAAGATGGAAGATAATTTTTTCCAGAAAGCCATTTTTGGTGGTGCTATGAAGAGCCTCAACTCTAGCCCTTCTGGAGAAGGAATTCTTGCGACTCAGAGGGTTGAGATTCAGGCATGTGAGAATTTACTTGCGTGAATTTAGTCATGTGGGATTTCGATTTCCCATTACGTTTTTGATCAAAAAATTTTCGTTCCAAGTTTTACGTTCTCATCGCGAAAGACAAATAACTGATCATTTATATTGAGTTGTATATCTTTTTTTTGGGGTCCTATCAACTTTGTTTAGTAATTAGGAGCAAAAGTTTCTTGCATTTCTCTTGATCGCCCATCGAAAGTACTTTCGGGTGGCTGGAGAATAACAGGATTTCATGATGGTCCAGTTGTTACATTAGATTTTGAATTTATATGATGTATCAAAAACATTGCTTGTTGTACTTTAGCCCTTGTGTGGCCCCTCAGTTTTCCCCTCAATAATGTCTCTGCTTTTATCTTACTCTTTACTTGAGATTTCCTCATCTCTGCTACCAATTTTCTTCTCATCTTTTGACTAATTGAAACCTTTCCCTATTTAATGTTACAATGAAAGCTTGCTCTTCACCTTCCATGGCAGAATGGCATTTGAGGGCTTGCTTTGGATATTGCATCTTTCAAGTAGATTGAATTTTTAATTCTCATTTATGCTCCATTTTAATTTAGTTTCGAATTTTTTAATTCAATCTCTGTAGTTTTGTTAAATCATTATGAATGTTTAAATGTATTATAGATCGCCAAGAAAAGGCAAGCTCTTCTGCTCATCCAACATGGATTTTCGACCCGTAAGAAAATTGCTAACAAGAACATTAAAAATTTAAAATTATGTGGGTCAGATTTATTTCGACCCGTTGGGATTTTCCCCCTATCCCTACCCGAAAAAAACCTTATAAATATTTCAATTCTTTAAAAACTATAAACTTTTTCTTAAGAAAGAAAAATAGTTGGATGGGCAGCTAGCTATTGGGCTTTAGATTTTTTTATAAAATTTTAAAAAGTATTTATAAACATTAATATATAATTTAAACTTTATTATTGTTATTATTTGAGAATTATAATCAGTGAACTGATAAGCTTGTTTTCTGCTTGCAGAAAGTTGTACAAAATAATTAACTGCTTTTCAAACAGTTTTCTTGTACGTGCTTTTATTTTGTCATTAGGTGGCTTTGGAGAAGTCAATTAAATTCAGCAATCAGCCCACTGAATTGGTAGCATTTTCTTAGCCTTTGGATATGCTTTATCACAAAGATAACATAATTTTCTTATTTGTTTTCTCATTTTCTTTTTAGTATAAAGATAACATAATTGTTGATTAGACGTCACCCATTGATGAGTTAAATACTTTGTAGCTATGGTCTATGGAAAGGGACTTTTTTTTGTCCTTTTTTATTTTTTATATATAGGTCCATGGAAAGGGACTTGACTAAGTGTGTTTGGGATATTTTGAAACAATCCTTTTAAGTAAAATGCTTCTCTTTTATAAGATTTAAAAATGAATTAATTAAATTTTTTCCCAACTTCAGAGTAAAGTTGGGCATGAGTTTTTTTTTCTAGTACAACATATGGGGTGGGGTTGGGAGATTGAACTCATAACCTCTTGGTTGCAGATATATATCAATTGCACTGAGTTATCCTCAGTTTTGGCATTGGACATGAGTGTTTAATATGTAAAATGTTGAGATTTTTTAAATATTATATTAAAGGTTAAAATACTATTTTGGTCATTGTATTTTTTCATTTCGACTTATTTTAGTATTAGTACATTAAATTTTTGTTCGTGTACTTTTAAAACATATATTTTGGTTACTGTATCTTCAAAGAGTGAGTAATTTAGTCTTTATTCGTAAAATTTTAACACAACTTTTATATACAGTGGTAACCATTTATTACAAATTATGATGAAGAGTGAGTACAACATGTAGTCATAAATTTACATTTCAATAAGCTTATTGAGTGAAATGTTATGCTAAAATTATGATGAAGTGAGTATATAGCTCAGTGGTAATTGACATATATTTTCAATTAAGAAGTTGTAAGTTCAATTCCTAATCTCCATGTTGTACTAAAAACAATTATGATAGAAAAAAATGAGATAAAAAAATGAAAGGACAAAATAGTCCTTTAAAAAAGTAAATGGATAAAAATAAGCTTGAAAAAGTGTCCACAAACAAAAATGAAATGAAATAGTATCATGAAAATATCTAGAATAGTGTTTGGAAATGATATTTAGAAGTGAAATTTTAAAGTTCTTCTAGTTAAACATTTGGTACCATTAAAAATTGAAGTTTTCGGAACTACTTTGGACTATGGGTCAAATATTACGGAAAGAAATGTGTTTTATAATTAGTCCAACATATATTGATACAATTAAAATTTAATTCAAAGTTCAAATCATTTTGTTGATTTATCTCAATAATTTTTTTTAAATACTTATCTCAAATGAGTTGTTCTAAACTAAAAAATATACATATATAATAAAGAGTGTGACACACGTTTTATATATTTTTAATGGAAACAATCTTTTGGGTCTAATTTAACTCGTATTTTGTGGGAAATATTTATGAAGCGATAAAGTTAGACATTAAAATATTAAATCAAAATAATATGAATATAAAAATGGTAAAGTTAAATTAATAATTTATACTGAGTTTCAAAACAGTATCAATAGTTTCAAAAATTTTAATAGCCTCTTAGTTTCAATATAGAATATAAAATCTAAAAAATAATTAGAAAAATCAAAGCAAAAACAAAAATTTTACCAACTATTCATAAATTTCTTTATCTTACCCAGAAAAAAAAAGCAAATTTAATTTTGTAAAGTCTCAAAATCCTAAGATAATCCATTAACACAATAAACTAAATACAATATACAAAATACCATCTCAAACTCAATATAACAATAATAAGGACGGTGTGAACCTTTCATCACATTATTAAGATTAATTTCAACATTCAAAATTATCATCACTAAATTGCAATTAAGTTAAAATTAAATCTAACAAGTTCGAACTTTTAAAATTACAGTGTTTAAATTAAATTAAGCCTGATTAAAGAGTACTAAATTAGTAATTGAACCAAAAGTTAACAACTGAACTACTTAAAATTTTGATTATCCACTCCGTAAAAAAAAAAAGATTATCCAGTAATTAATGGCGAAGTGAACCATCAAAAGCCCGCGCTTTCGGCGCGTAGAGGCCTTCGCTTCACCGGCCGACCGACAAAGCCATGGCTCACCACCATAGCCAAGCGAACAGCACAGTTCGAACCGTGGGCTACAGTTAATTGAGTGCTTTTCATGGTGGTTGTGGGCTGGCCATGCGGAGGAATGAGAAAAACAAAAGGTCAGAAAACGACTGATTGAGATTGACCAAAGCCTCCATCTTGAACCAGAAAGTGAAAATTTGTGAAACGATTTTACCAAGAATCTTGATTAGAGAGAGGCGGAGACTGGAGAGCGATTGAATGTGCAGAATAGCCGCAGTGGAGTTTACATCTTTTGAGATTTCAGAAGATTTTTCTTAGTTTCTACTTCTACCGTCGCTGTTCGTGCCTAGTAACATCTCGTTCTGCTGACTGATCTCGTGGTTTGTTCCGTTTCCTCATTTTATTGCTGACTTTTTTCGGGGATTTCACGTGGATTTTTATTGATTACTGAGAAAAGATTGCTTTCGCATCAATTTTCTCGCTTGTCTAGAATTTGGAATATTTACTATTTTGAATAGTACGTACTGCGGTATTGGGATTGCAGGCAGATTTTCACTTTTCTCGTGTTAAAGGATCTTATTTCTATTTAGTCGCGATTTTGGTTTCCTATACTTTATCTGGACGAATTTGCCTCTTAGTCTTAATTCCAAGCATTGAGCTATCGGGATTACTGGGTATGTAGTGATTCTGGAATGCTCCGTTTGCCTAGTTGATCGAAGTTTCTACTGAAATTTGGATCTCATTTGTCTACGATATATCCAACTAAATTATGGGTTTCACGAGAGTGTAGATGTTCTTCTTTTCCATTTCAAACCTTTGCACACTATTTTTTTTTCCTGATTAGGTAATTAGATGAGTATATATTTAACTTCGAAGATGTTTCGCCCCTGATTTTATGTTTGATTCTGATATATATCCATAGATTGACCTAGGCTAGGCTCTTAGTGTATGACCCTGCAAGTGGGATGAGCAGAAGTTGATAGGAGGTCATCTCTCACCGTTATTTTCTTAATATATATTTTTCATATTACAAATAAGATTTTCTTTGTTATGTACTGGCAAGTGCGTCTGTTAGATTTATCAGGAAAAGGGCACATAGAAATTTACTATATATATATTTTTATTATGGGTTTCAGAACATTTTTTACACGATCTTCTCCAATATTTTCTGAAATATGTAGTACGCTGGAGCCTTGCTCTTCTCTTAGTTGTAGACCTAATGTATTAATCAAAAGTTATATGTTTCTCCCTTCTTGAGTGATTCTAAGAGTGAGAATCAGAATCATTATTGACCTCTTTCCCCTGATTGAAGAGAGGGTAAAAGTTTTATATATGTTCTTTATGATGTCAGATTGAAATGGGTATATACCTCAGCAATCCCAAAACTGAAAAATCCTCTGAAGATGGTGGGAATGGAAGGCTTAGATATGGACTATCATCCATGCAAGGATGGCGTGCCACAATGGAAGATGCTGTGAGTAATCAATTAAATGGCTCCACTCTATCCTATTGATAAGAGCTCAATTAAATTTATTATTTTCAAAATTTTGCAATTTCTGTTGCAATGATATGCTTCTATTCACTGCTTTGTAGCATGCTGCATTTCCTGATCTGGATGCTTGCACTTCATTCTTTGGTGTTTATGACGGCCATGGAGGTAAAATGATGGCAAAATGCATGTTTCTGTCATCTGCTTCTTTATGATGGTGCCTTTTTGAACACATGGGGTATAAAGTTCTTCTGTTTTGGATGTGGGTAGTACGATTTTTATGCTACAAACAACTGAGTAATATGACTGGAGAAAATAGTCTGTCATGATTTTTTTTCTTTTAAATTCACCATGGAGTGTTTGACATAAAAATTGAAAATACTGCTTGAAATATACGTTAACAGCAACTTAATAACATTGAGGAAATCTAACTTCTGTTTTTATTTGTACTTTGTAGCATCTTTGGATGATATAGACAGATCTACTGGAGTTAAATAGAGTACTATATGGAAGGAACTATTCAAAGAAGTCCGATTTAGAGGATAAGCATCAAACGCAATTTGATTGAACAAATTAAAACTTATGACATTCAGAACTGAGAAATTTTGAGGCTCAGTTTGGAATTTAACTATGAATTATTTTCATCAATGAAATGAGAAAGTTTTAAATATCTACAACTACATGGTAATTGCATTAGCAAAAACTTCCCGTCTCAAATAATTTCAACTTTGATATGGTTGCTTATCTAAGATGTTCAACTCTTCAGGTAAGGTGGTTGCAAAGTTCTGTGCCAAGTACCTACATCAGCAAATGAAGAAAAATGAAGCTTATGCAGCTGGAGATATAGGAACTTCTGTGCAGAAAGCATTCCTCAGGTTATTTCTTACTATTGGACTATGAGTCAGTGTTTATTTCTATTTCTCAAATTGTTGGGTGTTTGGGCTGTCAAGTGGATGCTGTACCCTATTTATGCGGGTTCCTCTGGATTGAAAGAAATAGGTGGTTCTTCAAAGGGGACGGAAGGAGATTAATAGTTCTCATGATCCTTTGACCTCTCCATGTTTCAAAGGGGAGTGCCCTTAATAAGACCTTCTCAGAACTATTCTGCCATTTATTTTTCTTCAAAGGGGATGGAAGGAGATTAACAGTTCTCATGATTGACCTCTCCATGTTTCGAAGGGGAGTTCCCATAATAAGACCTTTTCTGAACTATCCCTCTTTCTTCTATTTTTCTTTCTTGATTCCAACTATAGGATTTTTCTTTTCTAAAGCTCATTTGTGAGTTTGAATCCCCAGGTTAGTTATGTCTCCTGCCTTATTGGGTTTTGCGTTCATTGTTCGCATGAATTTAAATTGTTTAAATATATACCAAAAGGCCTAAAAAGGGCATACAAAAAGACAGCCCAGCAAGAGGAAGCCCCCTAAAGAAAAGGACTCCAATCCAAAAGAATAAGGCCAAGCGAATAATTACAAAAGAGATGAGAAACCGAGTCCCATAACGAAGTATTAAATCTAACGATGTCCCAAACATAGTCCACGGACTTTTCCACCCCCTAAACACTCTATGATTCCTCTCCAGCCAAATACCCTATAACAAAGCTAGAATGCAAGCCTGCCACAAAAAACGACCCTTATCCCGAAAAGGGGGGAATAAGAGCACCTCCTCCATCATAGTCCTACAATCCCTTGCACGGACCCAGGAAATCCTCCAGTGTTGTTAGCTAGAAAGCAAGCAAGCAAGCATGAGTTTAAATTGTTGTTTCTTATTGAATAAATTATGAGTTTTTGTTGCATGGGTCTTGCTTTCTGGTGGAGCTTATTGAATTAGTTTACATGATAGCCTCCAGTGTTCCATGGTTTCTTATGAGAAAGCATTTACTACAAGATACATTGGTTGAAAAATATACTAATTAAGTATGGGATATGTCACATAGTTATCCCAACATTATGGTCTATGATTCTATCACCATTATATCAAGTGCAACATTCTATCACCATTCACCACCTTATTGTTTCACACTTTCCAACTTAATAACTGATGACTCTGGTCTTCTAGAATGGATGAAATGATGCGTGGACAAAGAGGTTGGAGAGAATTAGCTGTTTTGGGTGATAGATTAAACAAGTTCACTGGCATGATAGAAGGGTTAATCTGGTCCCCAAGAAGCAGTGATGCAAATGACCAGGCTGATGATTGGGCTTTTGAAGAGGTAGGATTAGAATTCTAAGTCACTCTTTAATTTTAGCTTACATTATCAGTATAATTGTGAATTAAGAGGAGGAACATTGCTTTTCCAAGGTACTGGTGGTATCTCATTGAGAATTACACGATACATTAATTTATACTCATAATAATCATAACAGTCTTCTCCGTACTGCTTTATATTGTTATTTTACTTTTATCAGTTTAAGTTCTAAATTAAACTAATCATTCTAGATTCCAACTTAATAATCTCGGCAGGGTCCGCACTCTGATTTTACTGGCCCGACTTCAGGATGTACAGCTTGTGTTGCAATTATTAGAAATAATCAACTTGTCGTTGCTAATGCTGGTGATTCTCGTTGTGTGATATCAAGAAAGGGTCAGGTATTTATTCAGCTATAAATGACTGATGGGCATGGTTCTGAAGAATAATTTTTAGATAATGCAACCTAGAGCGATGTAGTACTTGGAACTTGATTTAGTACGTGTAACATGCTTGAATTCAGATGTTCAGAAGTTCAAAGTAAACAACTCATGGACAAGTCATGCTACTTGCACAAAGATATAGGCATAGAGTTGAGGAGTTTAGTGAAATGGCTTGCATGCTTTATAATTATAGACAGTGGTAACGGGTCTTGACATGGTTACTCTTGTTCAGGCTCATAATCTCTCCAGAGATCACAAGCCCGACCTTGAGGCGGAGAGGGAAAGAATTCTGAAGGCTGGTGGTTTTATTCATGCTGGACGAGTCAATGGTAGCTTGAACCTTGCCAGAGCTATTGGTATGCGGAAAACTACTTGTCAAATTTCCTTCTAGTATACTTTGTTTTATGTCCAACAGTTTGGCTTTCTACGCTCCTGCCATCTGTATGGATTAGTATAGTTCAATTTCCTCCTTAGCGTTTGGTGAATGACTAGACTACCATTGAAAGGGAACATAAATAATAAAACTTAGCAACTTATAAAAATTTTGGATGTGAACTTTAATTTGTTAGATTTCCATAATCCCGCCTTTCAACTACTGCAGGTGACATGGAATTTAAGCAGAACAAATTTTTACCTGCTGAAAAGCAAATTATCACTGCAAATCCTGATGTAACCACTGTACGTATGCTACCTGCTATATTTACAATTCAAATTTCTCAAGGAATGGCTAAACTGAAGCTATATCATAAGATTCCCACTTTCATCCTATCTGAATTATCAATTGATTTGATTTCTTTACTTCTCAAAATAGGTTTAAAATTTTAATGACATTCTGTTTTCCTTTTTTGGGTAATTTTTGAATTAGGTCGAGCTTTCCGATGATGACGAGTTTATGGTTATAGCCTGTGATGGGATATGGTATGTAAATATGGTTTCTCCTTGGCTTGGTTTTTATTTTTTGTTATATATCCATATCATTTGCACTTGGTATTTTAATCAAGGATTAAACTTAATAGGTGGAGTGAGTATTGGTATTTCAATCGGTTAATCTTAATATGATAATCTAACTTACTTTATTTTAGCATGATAGTGCTAATAGTGCTAATGTGCTTATCATTTTCTACAGTATTCTTAAAAATATGTTCTTAAGCAGCATAAAATTGAAGGTTTTCTTTTTTCAATAGAGTACCAAGTATTTGTCATAGGTCTGTTCCACCGTTTGGTGCGCTGAATATTGAAGCTTTTGAGTTTATGGTAGCATTCCGAAACTGACACCGTTTCACCAAGTTTATTTTTTGTTTTTTTCTTTCTTTATGAGTTAATAACATTTGCATGAGGCAATGACATTTCTTCTTCTTTCTGGCGGTCCTTGGCCTCTATGCAAGATATTTATCTTTCTTTCTTTCGGATATTTCTATCAAAAAGGAAAAGAAATTGAATAGATACATACATTCTTCTTATGACATTTCTTCGTGATTCTTATTAGTCAAGAAGGATTCAAAATGAACAAGTTCGAGCGAGCTAAATAAATCACCATTCTTTTTTGTTTTGCTTGTTAATGTTAGTTTGAACTTGTCGTTTGAATTTGATTTTATTGAAGTAAGCTTGAAATTTGGTGCTAATATCTGTTCTGATGAATTTCTACAGGGATTGTATGTCCAACCAGCAACTGGTAGATTTTATACATGAACAGCTAGAATCAGTAAGTAAAAACCTGTTAGTGTTCAACAATAAAGAGCAGGTTTTGTTGGTACTGAGCTTTATTGATATTTTTTTATAACTTTGTCCGGGTTATCGGAGTCCTCTTCCTTGCATTATGCTCATGACCCATGCTACCCATCTTCGGGAGACTTGTCACCCACCCCAATACCAAATCCGAGAGACAACAAGAATTTTAAATTATTCAAGTTTCTACCCAAGAGCTTGAACTAGGACTTCAAGCCTCTTGAATTCATCCGCATATAAAATTATCTTTCAGATTTTTTTTTTTTTTTTTAAACAAAGAAATTGAACTTTTCATTGAAAGAGATGAGGAGAAACCAGAGTTCAAAAATACAAGCACCAATAAAAACAGGCAGAATTAAATAAAACAGAAACAAAAAGGACAAAATATTAGCAAGAAAAGGGAGAAATAAAACTCTCCCATTTCATTTAAATATTTTGCCATTAATATTAAAAAAAAATTCTAAGCACACCATTGGAAACTTTTAGCCTAGCCGCTTCAAAACGATCCAACCAATACTTCTAAGAATTTTTAAAGCAACCAATACTTCTAAGAATTTTTAAAGACACTTTGGTTACTTTTCAACTAAAGCTCTGAGATAATTGCTTTAACCACATTTATCCATAATAAATTTGGCTATGGGGCCAAATAAAGATTAAGGATGAGTTGAAGAGAAGAGAGAATCTTGAGAAAACCCAATGTAGATTAAAGATTCGAAAGCATTATCTTTTGGATTTAACTGCGGGGGATTTTGTAAACCTCCTTAAGATACTGGCAGCCTACTTTCATGGATTATAGAAATAAAAATGATGAATATTTTCTCCTCCTTGTTCTTTCTGCCTTCTGACATTTGATAAATGCAATAAATGATGCAGGAAAGTAAACTCTCTGTGATTTGTGAGAGAGTACTTGATAGGTGTTTGGCACCTTCCACAGCTGGTGGTGAGGGATGTGATAACATGACCATGATCTTGGTGCAGTTCAAGAAAGGCATCCATTCGAACACCTCTGCTGATGAGCAAACTTCACCCCCCGCTGCCACCACCCCCACCGAACCAGACAGTGCTGAATCGAAGCAAGGCGATTAATCGAACCAGTGACTTTGATTAACCCCTCACTTATGCCTTCTTCTTTCTGAGGAAGTTCACATGCTTCTGCCCATTTGCTGTAAAATATGGATCATGGGATTTGTAACCATAGATGTTTTAGTTGAGATTCAACAGATCAGATTACCAAAATGTTCCTTTTTTCTCCGTTCTGGTGTTCTTTTTTTTTTAACCTTTGAATGTAAAATGACTTCAGCTACCCTAAATCTGTACAGTTTTCTGTAGAACCAGCTAGTTCTCTWAGAATCTTGAACATAAAGCTTCCATTCGAATGAATTTTTTCATCTCAAGTTTGAATTCCTGTACGATCATTCTTTCATTTTGTTCGAGTCAAACCAAAGAATTCGTGGATCTATTGACCACCTTTTTTTTTTCCTTCTATTTTATCAAGCAATAAATCCGCTTGATGATCATGCTACTTTTGTCACAATTGATTTCCTCCAGTTATATAATTTTCCCTTCCTTTCTTTTAGCTTCTGCGAGGGAACGTCAGTATAAACAAATACAATCGATAAAAATCCTACAGTCTGTACAAATGATGTTATTATACAAATGCTACATCTCATGTCACATCTAGTTTCTTTGATAGTCACCGATCATTCGGTATGCTCCTAATAGTTTGCATGACGCTTCAAGATTGATTAGGGAGCTGCGCATACGTACCGACATTGGGATTGCAGCCGCCAACCATCATGTTCTTGAAGACGGTATAAGCATGCTCAGGGTCCCCCGACATGCTGTACCCTCGAATAAGAGCATTATAACTGAAGACATCAGGTTCAAGGCCCACAAGTTGAAGTTCTTCATACATCCACTTTGCTTGTTCCACCATTCCAGCAAGCCCAAGATAGAGCATCAATGAATTGTAAGTATACAGGTCGGGAACAATGCCTCGGTTTCGCATTTCGCTGTATAGAGCGAGAGCTTCCTCCATCCTCTGCGATTTTCCTAGTCCATTTATTATACGATTGTAAGCGATAAAGTCAGGGTCAAGACCGGTTGATTTCAGTTCCTCGAAATAGTATAAAGCTTCATCAACTCTTCCAGCAAGGCAGAGGCAATCCACCAGAATTGTGTATGATTTCAAGTCTGGCCTTATACCCTCCTTCACCATCCTTTTAAACAACTGACAAGCAATTTCTGTCTCTCCTGTTTTCCCATATCCATTGATGAGAATGTTGAATATTGCACAGTTGGGCTTGCATCCATAGTGTGGCATCTCTTCAAAGAGCTGCATTGCTTCCTCTAAGCGCCCCAATTTTGCTAGTCCATCCATTAGAGGGCCATATGTACAAGGAGTGGGGCAGAAATCACTACTAACAAGATCATAGTACAAATCTAAAGCCTTGTCCAAGTTGTTGGATTTTGCAAGACTGGATATGACAATGTTGTGAGTTACGGCATTCGGCTTGCATCTCCTTGAGATCATCTCTTTGTACAGTTCAAAAAGTTCAGTGATCTCCCCAAACTTCCCATGAACGTCGAGAAACATGTTATAAGTAAAAACATCAGGAGCACAGGCGCCATTCTTCATATCCTTAAAAAGATCCCAGGCCTTTTTGGTGTAATGGACTTCAAGAAGCTCACCAATCAAACAATTATATGATGCTAGAGTTGGATTGATTCCCAGTCTCTTAGTAAATTTCTCAAATATTTTATGAGCATGAAGTGTTCTCTTATGCTTGCACAAAACTCTAACTAGAGGTACCAAGAACGAGTCCTCCTTGCAAATCCCATTCAATACCAATTCTTCAGCAAATATAATGGCTTTATCCATCTCAGCCTCAACTAAAGTGCCTCCCATTAAATCTTCCCAAAAGGATCTGTTTACGTGAAACCGAACCTGGTGCATAAAATCCTTTGCAATATTTACAGCATCCCCTATCTGCCCATACTTCACGACACCGGGAAGGAGGGTACATATCGTGACATGATCGGGGTACATTGATTTCTTCAATTGGTGGAAGAACCAGACTGCATAATTTACTCTGTTTTCTTTGATCAGGCCATAAATAACCGTGTTGTAGGTCAAAACATCAGGCTTACAGTTCATTACTGTCATTCTAGAAAACACTTTCAAAGCCAATTCAACCTCGTCATTTTTGCAAAAGCAATCCAGAAGCGTGTTGAAAGATATCGTGTTTGGAGAACACCCATTCTTAATCATACTTTCAAATAATTTGGTGGCTTTCTGGACCCGACCCTCTTTCCCTAATCCAGAGAGTAACGTATTGTAGGTCACAACTGTTGGAGAAAGCTTCATGTCCTTCATTCTTCCAAACATTTGCCATGCTTCATCAACTCGTCCAGCCTTGTAAAGTGAATCGATCAAAGAGTTAACTACAATCACATCAGGTTCGCATCCGTTTTTAATCATCTCCGAAAGTAATTTCACGGCCTCATCTACATGTCCTACCTTGCTATAGCACTTCATCATCATGTTATACGTCACTGAATCTGGAGCAAGACCATTCTCTCTGAGCCCATTGAACATGTCTTTTGCTTCTCTTAACCTACCCATTTCAGCAAGGCTGTACAAAGATGCATTGCAAGCTACAATATTCGGAACAATTCCTCTAGCTTTCATCTTCTCAAAGGTCTCAACAGCTTTGCCAGTGTCTCCAGATTTGCCAAAATAGTCAATAAAAATGATGTATGTATAAGCAGTAGGTTGAACACCTAGAGTTTCCATGGTATCTAAAAGCTTTAGTGCGTCCTCAAGTCTACCTGCCCTTAGAAGTCCACAAATAAGTGTGTTATAAGTATGAAGATTTGGCAAGATCCCTTGCTTCCTCATGACATCAAAAGTAGCAAATGCCTCATCAAAGTCTCCGGCTTTGCATAACGCATCGACAAGAATAGTATAAGTAACTACATCAGGCATATACCCATCAGCTTCCATCTGACTCCAAAATTCTTTGACAGTGCCCAAGTCTCCAAAATCATGGAACTTGTCCAACAAAGTAATGTAGATTACTTGATCAGGTTTGTGACCATTAGCTTTCATCTTCACGAATAACTCCTTGGCATTTTCCAACCGTCCAGCATTACAAAGGGCGTCGATGAGGACTGTATAAGTAACAAGGTCAGGTCCACATCCTTCATCATCCATTCTCCTAAATATCTCATATGCCTCATCAATTTTTCCTGCCCTGCCTAGTACTCTAATGCATATTGTAAATGTGTAAACATTTGGCCTCAATCCCAAACTTTCCATCTCTTTCAATAGAGCCATTACGGCTTCAGAATCTCTCTTCTTTCCTAAGGCAACCATAAGGGCAGAATACGTCTTCAGGCTAGGTTTAAGTCCTTCTGAAACCATTCTTCTATAGACTTCCAACGCCTCACTACAGGACCCTGATTGAATCAGCAAATGGATCAATCCATTGTATGAATATGCATTCAAGACAAATCCAGCTTTTCTCATCTTCTTTAGCGCAATCGTAACTTGCCGAAGCCCGCCTCTGATGGAAAGAGCCTTAAAGATAGTCAAGTAAGTGCTTAAATCCCTCCTAATAATTTTCTTTTGCATAAATTCAAAGACAGCAGCCATATCCTCCACCTTCTCATGCACTCTTAAGAATTCAAGCATGAAATTACACGTCTCAGTGGTATGCAGAACAGTAGGAAACTCAGATATAGAGTAAAAGTAAGAAAGAGCACGCGCCAGATCCGACATCGATTTCAAAACCCGAAGAACTTCATCTCCGGACACTGGAATTTTCGCCTTCACGTTTACCGCCATCACTTGCTCCGGATTTTGCAACGCAAGCCGGAAGAACCCCGTCCGCCTCTTCCTGTGCTTCTTCCAATTCGCCAAAGACAAAGACACAGTTTGAAAATCCCCCAATTTTTCCCATATCAGTCCTCCCGATGATCCGTTACAGCTTAAAGCAGACATCTGACAATCACTAAAAGCGCCATTGCAACAACTGCTCAACATGCTTAAAGAGCTGAGGATTAAAAGCGACATCAGGACATTTTCATCAACAACATGAGTGAAGAAGTTCGGTTTCGAAATTTGAGTTCGTCAATGGACGATTGCTGCTTGATGAATCTCACTCTTGAGAGAAAGTTAAACGAAGTAAATTGCATTTACATTACCTCTGAGTCTTCAGAATAGCATTTCTCGGCCGGAGAGGCGGCTGAATTCTGATGAATTCAGTTAAAAGTTGGAGCTCCGAGCCTCCATCGCCATGGCCTCTGGGATATGATATGAATATCTTCTGCACTGTCTGCAGTTTGCGCTTTGGGATATTTTGTACGAAGCCTATGGTCACATTTTTCTTTCGGCAATGGATGAAATGTTGAGAAAGTGAAAGAGGGAGAGATTAAAGATATTTTTAATATAGATTAAATTACAAATTTGATGTAATAAATCTCTTAATTTTTTTATTTTGTTAGAAATATATATAAAAAATACCAACGGACTATTATTAAATGGCAGACAAATAAAATAAATAAATACGAAAAACTTTTTACTACCCGAACTTTTTAAAATATCTAATGATATCATTGATTTTCAATTTTGTGGATTCTAACCCATTCAAAATTTATGGATGTATTAGAGTTGTGTCAAATAAGATATTTAATTTTATTTTTGTACTCAATAGATTCGTGAATTTTAGAAATTATCTAAGTCAGGTATCCATTAAATGTAGAATTATAAATGTGTAAGTTTATATATATAGTTTTTTTAGGAAAAAGATATAAAGTTTAATAGTATACGAGACACAAAATTTTAATAACTTATTAAACATTTGAAAAAAGAAAGGAAAAAAATGTCTCTATTACGACTCTAATGAAATTTAACCTTTGAAATATGTTAGATTAAATTTTCAAATATATTAGATCATAAATTTAGAAGTCAATCCTACAAATTGTTTGAAAAAATAAAACTTGAATCTAATCCAATTGAACAACACATTTATATTTAATTAAATATCTGTATTCAAACTCCTTCCTCACACCGTGTAGTAAAACAATAGTTATTCAAAATTGTTTACTCTGCTTTCAAATTTATTAAGGGTGTTCTACAAAGTTTCAATTTGTTATTTAAAGAAAAAATTAATAAATTGAGAGTAAAATTGGAACTTTTATCATTGCGGTAAAATTGAAACCCAATAAATTTGATTTTGGGTGATTTTGTATAATTTAATCATAATTTACGTTTTTGCAAAATAATTTAATCATAATTTAACGCAGAAACAAATTCAACACACTGGAGATCCGAAGCGTATCGGGCCAAACTGCTGCCATAAACCTCTTCGAACCCAAAAGCCCTACCCGTCCCCTTCCCCTTCCCCCACCGCCTTTAACGACAACGGTCCGAGCTCGACCTTCGCCGTCGCCATCTCAACAAATCTCCTGCTAAGGATTTCAATTTCGCAGGGTTTCTGTGTGCGCCTGTGACAGAGACGGAGGTCAAAATTGGGGCCAAATATGGAGGGGGGTGTTCGAGAATCCGCCGTGGTGCCCGAGTCGGCGATGGATTCAGTGAAGAAGACATTGGACAATGTAGAAGAAGTGCGAACTCACCTGATTTCCTTCCTTTCGATCTCCGAGCCCGAGGTCCTCGCTCAAATGCAGCCTCTCCAACGGGCTCAGTCTATGCTTTTGCTTGCTAGAATCACTACCACTCTATTCTCGTGTAAGATTCGTTGATTACTCGTGGATAATACTTGATTTTGTTCCTCTTTTGTTTTGGATTATGGAGGTTTGGTGATTTGCAGTGAAGGTGAGGTGTAGCGGAGTTCACCCCGATGATCATCCTGTCAAGTCAGAGCTTGTAATTATTCTCGTACCTTGTATCTGGTGATTAAAACTGAAATTTTCTCGCATGGGCAGTAAATTTTATTCTCCCATTGCTTCTTTGAACATCATTCTTATTCTTTCTTTTGCATGTAGGAGAGATTAAGCTTGTATCAAGAAAAACTAGAACGGTTCATTGGCTTGAGTAAAGGTATTCTTGATCTTTGGTTTTTCGTTTATATCAGCACATTTTCTTTGTCATTCCTACTTCCTTCCTCGGTTGATTAATTGTTTTGTATTTAATTTTGCTCATGAAGCACCATTAAGGCCTTCTACTACCTTGAACTACCAAGCAGCTACACGTTTTATTGAACATTCTCTGCCTGATCTCACCCAAGGTTGGTTGAATTTGTTTGCATTTTGGTTTTGAGGAGGGGGATTTTTGTGCTTGGTTCCCTTTGATGAGGGAAATATTTCAATATTTTCAGAGCAAAAGAAGAGTATGAGGGATATTAGTAGGGGGAAGGGACCAAAAATTAAGCATTTAGAGAGGAATGCACAAAAGAAGAGGAAGTATCAGTCTTCTGAAAAACAATCTGTTCAAACTGCTGCCAAGGATTTTCTTGCAAAAGCAGCGCGTGAGCTTCTTGGTGAAAATAATGGAGGTTTTCAGGGACCACTCTGTGGTGACGCTTCAGATGATGACCTGCAGGAGGACTGAATTCCTGATTTTACTTGGTACCTGTTCATCACGTTTTTATTATAATTTTGGCGTCTTTTTTTTTTTCTTTTTAATGAATGCATGCTTTTCCATACGATTGTTGCTAGAACATGATTCGATTTTCTTAATAAATTAGCCATTTTTAGTTCTATAGCTGACTCATATACTATTATCTGTTGTTAGCTTGCTTAGTGTATGGATTGTGAGTTGTAAATAAAAGAAAATATATTCTGTTTCTGGATTTCTTTGATGTGTTTCTATATGGTGATATGTAGATCATGCTCTATTATTATTGTTAAACGAACGCTATTATGCATTATTGCAGCGTCATTTCGAATGCAACAATAGTTTTTCTTCAATCGAACTGTATCCTTTCGTCACTAAACTGAGTGCTATAATTTTTGTTTACTCCATGCAAATACTCCATGCAAACAGATTACTTCCGTTTATGTATATGCACTCGTTCCTCTATGTTTTAACACTTTCCTTCACTTTTACATCTTCCAGGATTATGAAAACCAGATTCACCTGTGCACTTAATTATCCCAACTCTCGAAGAATTGGTCCATTTTGAAGTTGTAGAGGATCATCTGTTTTCTTTTTCTTTCCTTCTTCTTGTTTCTCCCTACAACATTAAGCCGTTTTCCCTTTACTTTATCTAGAAGTCTTCATATATATGCATTGGAAGTTTCAGTCCCACCATAAGTTTAAGTTACTATTAGGACCTGGTTGGGAATTTGGCTCTCTACTCTTTCTCACAGGCTGATGTTCTTGGTTGCTTCCAAGTTCCACCCCAATATTTTTTGAACTAGTGTGAGTGATCGACATGATTTTGATAAAAGGAGGCCTTGCCTTTTACATGTAAAGTAGCCTACATGGAATCTGACTTCTTTTTTTTCTTCTGGGTCTGTATATGAATCAGCATCTTGTTATGTGGATTAGCCTTTTGCCATAAATTAATAATAGCGTGTTAGTTGTGATGAATCGCCTCCAAGAATCTTATTCTGTGTTTTCTGATGGGCCCTGTTTAGTTTCTTGTTAGAATCAACTACTCAAGCAAGCTTTACTCTGATTCTTTTACTACCCTATTGAGCCACCTCCTCATTAGAACTACAGTGCAGTTGCAGACTAGCGGAGCCACCGCTATCGGAGCAGGGACTTCACCGGAGACAGGACTGGAGAAATACCAGCATCTGTGTTCTTTCTTGTGACTCTCATAATGAGTGGCTCAACGCTGTTAAGCTGCAGTATGCTACTACCCCTCGAATCCACTTTACTGGAGGTTTGAAGTTTTTCAGCTTCCAGTTTTTTTTAAAGAGAGCCACTGATTAGAAAACAAGAAATGGGAATATTCTAGGCGTTCCAAAGATCGCCACAGACTAGTCTCTAGTAAACCCTGAAAATTTTTATTTTGGCAGGGTTTTCTTTGGTTTCTTTTCTAAATTTCAACTTTTACATTACACAATGAGATTAATCTTCAATGCAGGCAGGAGCAATTTGCCTCCTCAAACTCTAATTTAAAAAATGTATAGAAAATATTTTCTTCCAAGATTTGATATGTTTTAATAAAAATGTTTGGCTTCAGCCTGTTTTGACATTGAATAAAAGCTCACTCAAGAATGAAACGACACTACGGACGGTACCACATATTAAAAATTATTTTTGGTATTACGAGAATATTATACTCATTTATTATTTGGGTTATTTCTTTTATTTATTATGTAACCAAAAAAGAGTACCATATTAGGTACTGACCCTTTCGAGCATGGTTCAAGTCACTCAATGAATGTCTAGAATTTATTGACTGAGGCAGGCTGTTTTTATTCTCTTACCAAATAAGTCTGGAAAACGACATAATTTCGAACCGAACTGACGTTGACGGTGGGTGTCGGTGATTGGTTTCTTCTATAATCTTCCTCCACCTTTGGATTTTGCTTTATTCGGGAAAAGATATGACAAGAAAAAGAAATTCCCATTTTTGTGTGAATTATGGCAAAACCGATAGAAAACGTGGATATCAACAAACACAACACTTGTCATACCATATTATCATGCAGTTGTATACGTGTTCAAATTCCAACTCTCCATGAATCTCCCCTTCACCCAAACACACAACACGTTTCAAAAATCCAACTCTCAAAGAACTAAAAAGTTTGAACTCTCACGATCCTTCTACCGACACCACCAACTCTGTGGAACCTGAAGAATTTAGAGAGATGGGAAGCAATGAAGAGTGGAGGAAAAATGCAGATACCCACAAAATGACGCCTGAGGATGTGAGAGCAGCGGGAGTGGAAGCCTCCAAAAGGCCGCCGGGGCACCACCCAGGCACAATTCTGCACCAGCGGCGGAGCCTCCCCTACAGCTACACCACCATGACCATCGCCGGCCTCCTCGTCATCGGAGCCACCGGATACTTCACCTTATATGCCCTCAAAAAGCCCGACGCCTCCGCCAAAGACGTCGCCAAGGTCGCCGCCAACGTCGCAGAGCCTGAAGACACCAAGCCCAGGAAGTAGGCTCTGTTGCTGGGTGGCTGTGTTTCTTCTTTAATGAAGCCTTTTCTTGTATTTCTTCCTCACATCATCCATCTGTTCCTCTTTATTAACAAACTTAATGCAAAATATGCAAGCAAAGGCAATAGAGACATCAAGATGCTTTTCCATAGCAAAAAAAGCGGTTATGTCTATAAACATTTATTCGTTGTGTAGAAGAATCTGAAAAAGAAAACGAAATGGGTTAAAAAAAAAGGGATCTATATGCGGCTTTTCCTTTCAAAAGATTGAGAATCCATTTGTCAACATGAAGGTAGATAACAGAAGAATCCCTGAACAAATGATCTTGGCTATGGCAACAGAATTGTCATCATTCAAAATTGAGTACAACAGGTTACATCTGAAAGCATCATCATAGTAATACTTCAATTTCAAAATCTTACAAGAATATAATTTCGGCATCCTGCAAAAGGAAATGGAGCAAAATGATTGGTCGATCTGTCTGCTTCGAGTAGTTCATTAATCAATCTTCACTGATGAGTAGATGAGCCTTGTGAACCAAAAGCATGCGTAGAAGCCAATGGTTCCCGTGAGCACAAAGAATGCGTACGACACAATCAGCATATACCCAAAGTACAACAGCCCAGAGACCAGCTTCGTGATTTCGAGCTTCGTGAAGAAGTAGAAGGTGGAATAGAGGAAGAGGTAAAGGGCAGATGAGCCTGAGGTTAAGTAAGATCTCCACCACCATAGGTAATCTTCGCTGCACAACTGGAAGTAGCACAGAACAATGGTGATTTCAGCGCAGGTGATGAGGAGGATAACGAAAACCAAGAACAGGAATCCGAAAATGTAGTAGAACTGGTTCAGCCAAATTGAGGTGAGGATGAAGAAGAGTTCAATGAAAACAGCCCCAAATGGAAGGATCCCTCCGATCAGAACTGAGAAGGCTGGGTGCATGTACCAAGCTTGCTCTGGGATTTGCCTGGGGATTTTGTTTGTCTTCACTGGATCTTCAATGGCGGGCTTCTTGAACCCGACATAGCTGCCGACGAAAACAAGGGGAACTGAGATTCCAAACCATAGAAAAACTAGAGCAAACATTGTTCCAAAGGGCACAGCTCCGGATGATTTCTGGCCCCAGATAAGGGCATTTAGAACAAAGAACAGTGCGAATATGGTGGCAGGAAACATGACTGCGGTGTTGAGGGCAACCTTCTTCCACTCTGTACCCTTGAACATTTTGTAGAGACGGGCCGCGGCAAAACCGGCAAAAAGACCCATGAAAACCCAGAGCAAGAGCATGGCCGTCATAAGTCCACCTCTGTTCGAGGGGGAGAGGAAGCCGAGGATGGCGAACATCATTGTTACAACAACCATTCCCAAGAACTGAACTCCAGTTCCAACGTACACACAGAGCAGATCTGAGTTTTTAGGAGGCCTGAAAACATCCCCATGGACAAGCTTCCACCCGGTCTCTTCCTGGGCTTCTTCCAGGGTTTCAAGTTCGTTGTACTTGGAAATATCACGGTATAATGTGCGTAGCATAATCATTGCAACCATGCCGGAGAGGAAAAGAACAATCATCAATGAATTGACGATAGAAAACCAATGGATTTGATCATCACTCATCAAAAGATACGCATCCCACCTAGAAGCCCACTTCACTTCACTCTCCTGAAAAAAGGCACGAGTTCATGGCCAAGTAAATATAGGCTACTCTACTATAGGTATACGTATACTTGACATCCTATGGATGAGCAGAGGACAACAAAGTGACAAAATGAAAATCTAATTCAGTAATTAAAGAATAGATGGTCCAAAAAAACAAATGAACATTCACGAGGTACCTGGCCACTACAAAATGAATCACGATAGACAACTGTTAATAAAGGTTATAGCATGGGTAGATCTGAGAGCGCACCTGAAATTCAACATCATAAGTAAATACGATTTCCTTTCCATCATCAACCTCTTGCGGAGAGTTGGAGTTAACAACTGTATGTTTTGCATGCGGGTCGCAGGTTGTTAGACGAGTATTCTTATCATTCCAGTTCCCTTCGTATTCATGCTTCACGCTGAACGCAACATAACACCGTAAGCAAAACTGTAAGAGCTGAAAAATCAGAAGCTCGATTTAGTAGAATGAGTGGGGTGATTACCTAAATGGTTTGACCTCAAATCCCACTATTCTCGCAGAATCGGTTTGCATGTCTTTGTGATACTTGACTGTAAATGCCAAATGATTGTGGATAAAGAACTTCTCATCTTTGCTCTGAACAAAATCAAGAAATAAATAAATTCCAAATTTTTGCAAGCATAGACATCAATTTGCTCGTGAAAAATAAAGAACTTGCCGCAGTATATTGGCCCTTAAGCCCAACATGGTAACCCATCTGGTAAACAACAGGTGATTCCTGGTCCTGCCTTTGGATTGGAAAAACCAGGGGAAGGTTATCGAGAATCCTGTCACATACATAGCAGATTCAAGATGTGCAATCTCAAAAATATGTTAAAACAAACAACAGCTAACAGTAATAAGCTTAGCTTAAGAAAAAATGTCGCACATATTGACCCGATATTCATCATTAATCTTCTCTTTGAATTCCTTTGCTTCTTTAGCATCAAGTTTAATCCGGCAAACAATATTACACATCTGATGTTCCCGCATTTTAAACTGCAAAAAATTCGAATGTGGTTAAGAACTAAATTAACCGCGCCAAACAGAAAGAAAGTTTCCCAACTTCAAGTATATCTTAACTCACCACATAGGGGGAATTTTCAATTCTGTCACCTCGAAGAACTTCGCCAAGATTTTCTGCGCTGTCCAATATCTTATCTGGACGACAAAATGGGAGGGAATAAAACGAGTAGGGAAGCTGAGTCTTTGTTGACGTCAATTTGTTTACTTTCACTTTTAATTCATCTCCCTGCATCCAACGTGAAAAGTACCACAATCATCTCTTAGATCTGAAACGCACTGTGCTCATGATACTAGAGGAACTATGCCACACACGCACGCGAGATTCTAATTTCTAACTGAAATATCTAACAGCATTGAACACATTTCGACATATTTTCAACTCGAGTTGACAATAGCAAAATCCAGTATATATGTAATACATTACACGCGACATATAGAATGAATGTGAAAACGCATTATCTGTACCCATTCAAAGCAAATCTAGAACCAATAGTTCCAGTTGACTTACACCAACCCCTCACCATCCCCCACATGATAAAATAGACGACTCATGACTCGAAATGTTACCTAGTCCCCGTGATGAAACCGTTGTCCAAAACAAAAGTTTAATCCAGGAGTAAAAGTTCTCTAAAAATCCTGGCCCAGTGCAAGATGCTTAATCCTAATGGGTAACAAAAATTCTCCATATTACACGACACCTACAATTTGAGATGAGACACCGAAAACTTCCACCCCCATATGCCAAACGAATAACCCCCACTCGATATATAGATGATCTACCACGATTGAGAAACCAAACTGACCAAAAAACAACGAACAAGGTTTCTAGATCTAGATTTCTCAGCAACCACCCCATTCCACACACAGACAACCCACGTAATTCCAATAGCCACCAACATCGAGCGCAGATCCGACAATACAACACGGATCAAGCAGCAATTACACCCTCACACCCAGAAAGATCGACGACAATGCAAACATTCAACACAAACAAGTCTCAAACAAGCGTGTTCGAGGGAGCTAACCTTCTCGAAGTCCTCGGGGGCAACACCGGGGAGGTAGAAGCAGTTGACTCCATGAATCAGAAGCAAGAGGACGGCAGCAATGGACAAGTTCCGAATCGATGGAGATCTCGGAGTCGCCATGGCGAGGGAGAGGGGAAGGGGAGAGGAGAGAAACGAAGGCGCTATAGATCCGAGAGGGGAGGATTTAATTTTCCGCCTGTTGTGTCTGTACATATGGTAAATGGGAAGGAAGAAAAAGGGTGCAGGAGCGATCCAGTAATGGCAGCACACCAGATTACTACCCCCCTACCATTCGTGATTGTTACGGCGACGTTTTACCAGCACATCCCTGATCTTGCCACGTCAGGGTGTCGAATTAATCAGGTCCACACAATGTTTTTTCTTATTTTAGTGAAAATTGGTGGGGAATTTATTGAATTTTCCGGACATGGAGATCGGTGTGGAGCTTGCGTAATTTTATTCTGATTAATTAAAGTAACCTACGCCTCATTAAAAAAATAATAATAAATATAGCAAACACGTGCATAAACCTTCGGAATTACACTTTTTTTCCCTCTTTTTTCCTTTTTCCTTTTTTTTTAATTAAGCGTAATTTGGTGTTAAAGGTGTATACTCTTTTTTTTTTTTAGCTTAGAAATTCTTGTTTTGAATTTCAAAACTTTACTTACTTTCTATGGTATTTAATTTTTAAGTTTAAATTTTTTTTTTCAAATGGTTAAGTTTTTGACTTTTAAATTTTCTAAATGTCTACTTTAATTATTTTAGTTTTAAAATTTTTAAAATATCTATTTTGGTTTATGAATTATTTAAAAGATATATATTTAATTTGATATATAGATAAAGTGACTTCAAATATGTGTATTAACATGTTGATTTAGACATACAGGAAGACTACATTAGTTGATTTACATATATAGATGGCAAAATAGTGGCAATAATCAAGTTAGTTATCGTTTAAGATGTTCATGTAATAAAATATGATTTCTAAACATTCAATAATCAGGATAGCTAAGTGTTGTGAATTGAATAAATATCTTGAAACCTCAGTGTTTTTAGGATTTGACAAATGTATACTTTCAAAAACGAAATATACAATATATTTTTAGAAATATATTTGAATTTAAACTACTAGGGAACGTGAAATTAAAAAGAAAAATACTACATGAATGTATCTATTTTCTTCCACAAAAATAAAGAACAATAATCGATAAATAAGAAACATGGCAATATACAAAAAATGAGAATAATTCTATATATAAGAGAAAATGAATAATTTTGTTTAATTTGTGGTGTTGAAGTGGAGTAGACCGATAGAGACGTCTAAAAATAACAGATAATTGTGTCATGTTTTGTAGGATTTGTTTTTGTTTTTGTGTTTATTTTGTACAGATTGTAGGATTTGTTTTTATGTGCTGTAATTGTAATAAAATAATCGACGGTTCTAATTTGATCATATGGTCCTATAATTATTTTTAGAATATAATCAACTGGATCTACAATATAAATTAATTTTTATTCTTTTTTTTTTCCGCCGACAGACTCATTTTTACTCTAGTTTGTCGGGATCTTAAAACAAGGAAAAAAGAAAAAGAAAAGAACTCTCTAATTTGTCGGAAGATAAATAGCTCTTATTTATGTACTCGGTTTCGAATTTGTTCGACTGCATAATTCGCTGGGCGGGGAAGATGGAGAAAAAGGAAGAAAGTCGCACTTGCACCTGGTTTGACTTTAGTTCGTGTTCTATACCCTACACGCTCTCCAATGGCGCCTCGGAGCTCTCTCCCGGTCCAGACATTGACGATCTCTCTGAGATTTATGCTTCTGATTCACGCCGCCCACTGTTTCAACATCTATGATGTGCACCCAGTGGATTTTAAGAAGGTTAACTCGGATTTCATCAATGTACCTGATGGATTCATTAGGTTGGCATTTGTTTAGAGGATTGGGGTTCAAATTGTACTGAAGTATGTCGAGAAGGGGGTTTTATAATCATTAAAGTTTTATGCCGCGAAGGTGTTTGAGATATTGCCTGAGAGAACGTGTACTGATTGTGTTGGCGGCAGGGGGATGAGTTGAAATTGAAGGTGAAAGGGCTAACTTCTATCAAGACCCAGATTCCGATTTCATATCACTCACTTCCGTTTTGTCGTCCCGAAAAGATAGAGGAAGATGCAAAGAATATTGGAGAAATTTTACTTGGTGACCGAAGTGAAAATTCCCTTTACGTGGTAACTTTTATGTCTATTCTTAAGACTTTATAGAGAATATTTCGGTTTATATATATACCTATATACATGTTAGATATATGATATAAATGATTAAATTTATCCTAATGTACTAGCTTAAGCTTTTGGTTGTTTAATCATCTTAATCATGTTTAATATGGTATCAAAGCAAAAGGTCTTATATTAGAATATTTGTGTTGTCATTTATTCTCTATTTATATTCATTTCCACTTATCGAGTCTCGTGCAATTTTAAGTGAGGGAGGTGTTAGATAACTAACCTAAATGATTAAATTTACCCTAGTCCATCAGTTTAAGATTATGGTTCATTAAATTACAAAAAAAAGTTCCATAGAAAATGTTAGCAGAGGACCTGTTCAATTCTTGGCGTTTTCAAGTGTCTGGCATTTTGTCTTATCAAAAAGTGTCTGCCATTTTGCAGGCCAAAATGGAGAATCAGCTGCGCAATATTATCTGCCGGATTAAACTTGATGACAAAGGAGTCAAAGAGTTGGAAGAGAAGATTGAGGACGCGTATATGGTCTACATTTATGGGAATCTCCCACTTTTGCAGATTAGACTCCTTGATATTGTCATCTGCATTTTTTAATGAATCTTCCATGCATCTGGTAGGACCCACGAAAATCATCGTCTGGTGCATCCGATTAGAATTTCTGGACATGAATCTCCCCTTGGTTATCAGATTGGATTCCAAATAGGGTTTAAAGGGTATAATTATGACGTAAGTTATGTCAAAATTTAAATCTTATAATTATTGTTTTTAGTTCATTATCTTCTCGAAATGCCAACGTTGTTTCACTAGGCACAGGGAAAAGGTGATAGATACTTGATCTACAACCATTTGTCATTTACTATCAAGTATTATCAAGATACACGAACTAATTCTACAAGAATTGTAGGATTTGAGGTTAACCCATTCAGGTTTTTCCTCTTCTCCGTCTCCTTCTCTTTCCTCTTTCATTTGATGCAAGTTTAATCTTCTTAGGATCACTCTGGCTCTAATCCAACCTTAACTTACTGTTACTGCTATCCATGCTTCGCAGTGGAGTTCTTATATGTTTATGAATTATCATGTTGCATCACCTCTCGTCTATGATTCTTTTATGCAAAGCAGTGTCAATCATAAATATGGAGGGCGATGGGAAGAAAGGAATACTCATATATCAACTTGTGACCCAATCTCAAAAGTCTTGGTTTTTAACTCTAACATTCCTCAAGTGGTTGAGGAGGGAGAGGAAGTTGTTTTTACTTATGACGTTGAATATCGAGTATGTCTCAATGGTAAATTAGACTTGCATGATTGCATTTTATATCCAAATATTCTTCAGTTGTTTCTAAAGCACGAGTAGTATCCTAATGATGAATTTGCATGCTAATTTCCTTGCATTTTATTTATTTGCTGCTGTATTGCTTATTGCCAGATACCGTTACATAATTATTTGCTTCTCACTGTATATTGTTCTTATCTTGCATTTCGTCATGAATTCTAGGAGAGTGATGTAGATTGGGTGTCTAGATGGGATGCTTATCTTGCTGAAACCACTAGGCATGACCAGACTCGTTGGTTCTCAATATTGAATGGTTTAGAATCAATTCTTGTGATATCTGGCATACTGGCGGTAATTGTGCGGCGGATTTACCGTGATATTTTTAATTACAATGATCTCGAGACCCAGGATAGAAATCAAAAGGAGACAGGATGGAAACTCATCCATGGGGATGTTTTCAGGCCACCAAGTAATTCAGATCTATCATGTATCCATGTTGGTACTGGAGTTCAGTCTCTTGGGATGATTCTTGGCACTGTGCTTTGTGCCATCCTGGGACTCCTCTCCCCTTGTAATCGGGGCGATCTTATTACAACCATGCTCTTGCTCTGGACCTTCATGAGCCTCTGTTCTAGTTATGTGTCGGCCCGTCTTTACAAGATGTTTGACGGTTCGGATTGGAAGAAAATTGCCCTTAAGACGGCCTTCATAATCCCGGCTGTCAACTTTATAATCTTCTTCATGTTAAATGCTCTGTTATGGGGTCAGAAATCATCTGCAGTAGTGCCATCTTGGGCAATGCTTGCTGTGGTCTTTCTATGGGTTGGAATCTCTGCCCCACTTGTTTTTGTGGGAAGTTACTTTGGATTCAAGAAGGCAGCAATTGAAAAACCTGTGAAAACCAACTCACTTCGCAGGCAAATCCCACAACAGTCCTGGTACATGAATCCGATTTTCGTCGTTTTGCTCGGAGGGGTAATCGCCTTTTCAATCATCATCAGCGAGTTGTCCCTCAGCCTTGCTGCAACTTGGCTACACCGAGTTTACTGGTTCTCTGGCTTCCAGTTGCTGGTTTTCATCATCTTCACTATCACTTGTGCTGAAATATCCATCATTCTTTGTTATTTACAGTTATGCAGGGAGGATTACCATTGGTGGTGGCGATCTTACGTAACATCGGGTTCGGCTGCTCTTTACCTCTTCTTCTATCGGATGCCATACTTCTTTATGAAACTCGAGATCACAAAGGTTGTCTCTGTGTTATTGTACATAGGTTACGTAGTTATTGCTTCATATGCTTTCTTTGTGCTAACTGGTACCATTGGATTCCTCGCTTGCCTTTGGTTTACAAGTGATATCTAATTCCTCTGTGAAATTTGATTATCAGGGATTTTTCTCCCTTAGCTCTTTTCCTTTCGGTTGCTGGAGATTTTTTCTGTGCTAAACTTGAGTGGAAGCTTGGTAATATTTCCATTTTTTTGTTTCTGGTTTTTAAGTTTCGAGAAACTTTAGCATATGGTAATGGAGTTCATATATATATATTATTCCTAAGAAATGTTTTGAAAATTTCGTACAAATTTAAGAATCGACAAAATCAAATTTCTTATTTTTCAGTTTTTTCCAAAACATGTATAAAAGCATTATTACGTGATTTTTTACTTATAAAATGCATACTAAGTATTAAGAAATA